TCTCTTTTTAACTTTTTTTATGTAAAAGGTGAAGATAAGGAACAGTGATCAATCTCATAAATCCAGTAAACAAAATGGATCGCGAGCAGGGCAAAAAATCACGGACCCTTGGAAACACCGGAGGTTGGATCAGGTGCCTTGAAGGAGTAAGCATCCCCTGTTGACCTGTCACACCTACCGTGAGCCCTGATCTATGTATCGCCCACATATCTATACGACTCAGAGTTATCTAAGAGGTCCATTATGATTAATTTTTTTTTTTTTTTTTAGAATTTGCATTCAAGCAGACAACTGCTTCCTCAATAAAAATGGACCTCGTAAATTTTTATATCATGTGATTGGTCATCTACAAATTTACTTTGTTAAAAAGCCTTCTGATTTTATGCATACAGTACTCTCTATAGTTGATATAAAAAGGCTATTTTTTCTCATTGACAATATCTACGTAGTCTTTGGTGATCAGATCCTCAAATATTCTGTTGGAAATCTGCTTGGCGTCAATAATGCACCTTTATTGGCCGACCTGTTTTTTTTTAAATGTGTATATATTCTCATTGATTTATTTTTTAAAAAATTTCTAAATGAGCATAATAAAAAGCTTGCAGTGGTTTTTAATTCAATATTTCGATACATCGACGAAGTTTTATCATTTAATCAACAGTAGTTATTATATTTTTTCATATGACTGGATATATCCCAATGAACTTGAATAAGAGTATACCACGAGTCTTCCATATCTTCTAAATATTTGAAAATTTTGCGGACTATAGAACTCTTCAATACTTAAGAGCATATTCTAGGTTCTTTTTTTTCACAGATTTTGCCAAAAATGTATGCGTACAAGTATATAGCCAAGAAATTTGTTTATCCTTAGACTGATAATATTGACTTAATGATAAAATATCAGATGACTGTAATATGTCCAACTTTTTGGGTATAAAACACGATTTACGACTACGATTTAATCTCGACACCCTTCTGAAAACTCATAATGTACCAGTGGAACGGGAGGATTGGATTACTTAACGTGTCACACCTCCTTAGTCAAACTTATTTAGTCCCCTTTCCTGCTGATAACATTACTTTGAGCAAGGGTAATATATTGGGAGATTTCATAATCCTGTAAGTAGATAACTTTTTGCATTGAGTTATATATCAGAGGCAAAAAAAAATCAAGGGCATGCAGTGTTAAAGGTGCTTTGGGACAAAGATAACCCACATCCCACATTTTGCCCAACCCGATTGTTCCTTGCATAAAACATTAATAAAAATACTTGTAAAAAGAGGCGACTGATAGTGTTTTTATTATATAATTTATATATAAATATATAAATATATATATACATATATATATATATATATATATATATATATATATATATATATATATATATATATATATATATATATATATATATATATATATATATATATATATATATATATATATTAAAGAATTTGTTTAGAACTACCTCCTACAGTGCTGGATTACGGAGGGGGTGGGGGTCCAAGCCTTTATGCAATATGTGAATGTATACTTCTTGTAATTTTCAACTGAAATTAATAACTTTAAATTTGACTGCTTTATCTTAATATCTTATATTAAAAGGGATCATCACTGCGATTTTCCATACTTAATTAAGATACAACCATACATAAAGAAAAATAATGACAACAAACACAGATAGGGATTTCATTGAAACACTTTTGTCAAGTTTTACTTCCGGCTTATTTAAGAAGTGTACACGACTTGAAATATAGGTTAAATAGGATGTATAACATCTAGATCCTCTTTCAATCAAATGTGCTTGGGTGAGGTCTACAGGTAAGAGATAGAAAATATGTGTATGCTGTGTAGCATATGTAGCCTCAAACTTCGTTCCAGGATCATCGAATCGTCGGTATCCCACGAGTGATTCAGATCGATTCTCTTGTGGTCTCAAAATAGTGGTCTGCCACGATGGGATCATCCATGTGATCTTTCATACACAAAGTTGATAAATCAGAATGAAAATTATGATAAATAAAATGATAAAAAATAGAAAATCATAATAAAAATGTGTCAATATCAAATACATTTACAGAAGTAATGGAAATTCAGACAGTGGTCAAATTGGAATGACCTGAGTGACGCCGAATCGTGACGTCACAAGTACATTGATCCTGTTGTAACAATCCTGATTAAATCCTTATTAAAGTGATGGAGGTGACGGATTCGCGAAAATGACAGGACATGGTAGAAAAACCTAACCCAACTCTGGTCTACAGTAAATAAATGATCTTATATGGAGGCATGCTTGTCTGAATCCCGGAATATTCTATGGAGAAGATTCTACAGGTATTGTACAGTTTACGATACTGTATACCATATTTTTATTTACTATAAAAAAAAGGACATAGCTAGAGTAGTTAATAGACGTCTAAATTTGGATAGTGGCAAATTTTCATTTATCCCCGCCCCATTCGCCAAATATATTTATTGTCAGTTATACCGATTGTTTAAAAAAGAAATGTTATCTTGTACATGTACTATTAAAAAGGATATAAATATAAACCAAGACCCCATAGTATCTATCTGTTATTACTTTATAACCATGCAATAAAAAGTTTCAAGCATTTATTACATGTAATAACCACAAGAGTAAATCTTTTATGGTGTATATTTATGTGTACACATATATTTCATGTTATATATTTATTTACTTATATTTTTTAGAGTTTTCATACTGACATTTTATGATGATTTTACTTGACGTATATATAACTACCACATGCATTTCTTTGATCTATTCCTCCCATGATTTTTTTTCAAACTTTACGCCTCCTCTACTTTGGAAAAGACATTCAAAATTATCCTTTCGTATCTTAATTAGGGTTTATTAATCAATATTCTGTCTCACTCCGTTCGTCCGAATATAAATGAATTATATTTTATAGATAACAAAAACCATGCTACTCTATAGAACGTTCTGAATAATTTTGCATGCATGTGCATACAACACAGCTAGTTACATTTAATACTTTTATACGTAATTTACATACCACCTAAAAGTAACTATGTAAAATAATTTATTATTGTAACATTCTTGTATGTGATAATAATACACAAACAGTTAATGTGTAGTAGATGCTATCATAAGACAGTAATACCCACATGTTAGTGTTTGCCTCCAAATGAACACAAGCTCCCTCGTACTTTGTGGGCAAAGAAACCCCAAGTTATTCTGTAATTTACATAAAATGTATATACCAGCACATGTATCCAATTGAGCGTAAAATGCACAGGTGAGCATACATGTATGACCTTGCACCTCTTGTATTAGCATTTCAAATATATAATGAATTAAATGTAATTACCGGTCAATATTTAAAAATTGTAATGAAGTAAATTCTGGTTTAAAAGAGGGAGTTTCAGAAAAATGTTTTTTTTTTCTGTAAAGAAAAACAGAAATATGAAAAAATCGGCCAAAATTGAAACGTTAAAATATCATTTTTCGACTCCCATTTGGCCCTAAGTGTGAAAATGAAAATTCCAAAACCTCATTGCACTTCTGCAGGACACCCCCAATCATCTTGCAAAAGATAAAATGAATACTGAGTGAAATGTAAGAGGAGTTCTGGAAACCAGGGTTTTTTTTTTTTTTTTTTTAATGAAGAATGTCGTTTTGTTACTCTAATTTGGGTCGCTGCAGGGTGAAAATGAAAATTTCAAAACCTTATTGTGCATCTACAGAAAACCCCGATAATCTTGCAGAAGATGATATGGCTACTGCGTCTACTGCGTAAAATGTAAGAGGAGTTCTGGGAACCAGGTTTTAGTAAAATAAAAAATGTCGTTTTCCAACCCTCATTTGGGTCCCAGGATGAAAATCACATCTCCAATACACCATAAATTACCTTCCAAAGGATGATTTGGTTGCTGGGTAAAATGTCTGAGGAGTTCTGGGAACCATGTTTCTATAAAAAAAAAAAATAATAAAATAAATAAAAAAAAAAAAAAAAACAAAACACATAGCTTTTCGACCCCCATGCATGATGAAAATGTAAAACCTTATTGCAATCTACAGGACCTTTTATCATATTCCAAAAAAAATGGTTACTGCTTAAAATGTAGGAGGAATTACAGGAAGAAGAAAGTGTGACAGACGGTCGGATCAGGATAACAACAATATACCGGACTTTCTTCAGAAAACGAGGGTATTTAGAGCTATAGGGTATTAAGAGAGTTCTAAATTTAAGAGCCTGGCGCATCAGTTCTGTAGGTCACTGTAATTAGATATGACAATTCAATCAAATAGTTAGTAGGCATGCATAGTGTTTCTATATAACAAAAGTTGTCTGCATGTGTAAGCTTATAAAACAATAAACAGTGAGTCCAAGCAAGCGATAGAATGACTAGATACAAAAACGCACCTGGCCACGTGACTGCCCTGAAATGACCCAAACACCCTCCAAGCATCCTAATAATATTATCGTTCTTATTCAAATAAATTCCATGATAAATAATTTTATTTTCTGTCGAACATACTTCTAACAACAAGACAAATGAAAGCAACATGAAATTTGTTAATGTAGTAAACTATATGATATGATTTAGTTTAACATTTCAAAATGGTAGACATAAGCGGTGTTCAGAGCATCAGTTAGTCCTAGACTAATTGGCTAGAACAATCATAACTTGCACTGCCCAGACGCCATTTTGTACGTTTAATTGCCATGCTTTAATCTATTATTTATCACAGTCAAGTCGTAATTAGGAGATTATCATGACGTCGCACACTAAAGGTAGTGCGTAGACAAAAGAATATGAATATTGTTATAAAATTAAGTCAGTGTGTAGGATCTATATATTTATGAACTTTTATGTTTTAAGCACTTCTTCTTTGAATGATATTTTCTAACGAATACTCTGCTTATTTTTCATTATTTATTTATTTATTATTTATTTTGCATTTTCTTGACGAATTCTCATTTTGTTTCTGTTTCAGCTTTGTCCGCCTCCTTTTTCGATATGTAGTATGTGCAGGTTGTTTGATGGTGTTCATGGTGATTTTTGCAAACACGTTACTTATTGTGTACATGAATGGAAGCAGAAAAACATTCTTCGAGAAACGCAGCCGAAACAGTCAAAATACATCGTCAACTCAATTCACAGTAGAATCCACATCTATTCCTACCACAACAGCGAAACCAAAAATAGTCAACTATGCATATCCATTAAATATCGACTTCGTTCAGTTATTTGAGGAGGAAAAAGCACAAAACCGAGTATTACCCATCAGACCGATTAACCCTCACAATTTTACATATATAGCTAATCCTTTAAATATCTGCAAAAGTAAATCACATCGAGAGGAAAATGGAGTTTTTGTTCTTATTTTGATAAAGAGTGCCCGAAAGAATATCCATTTACGACAATATATACGCTTAAGTAAAAGGAATGAAAATTTCCAAAAATGGAAAGAACGTGTTCGAATAGTTTTTCTTTTAGGATATTCATTCACGGAAAGCAATGTGGCCATTTCAAAGGAAAGTGCCGTTTTTGGGGATATAGTCCAAGAGGACTTTGAAGATACATACAGGAATATTACTTTCAAGACTATCATGGGCTACAACTGGGCTATATCATATTGCTCCAGAGCCACTCATATACTTTACCAAGATGACGATTTTCATTTTAATGTAGACAATTTATTTAAATTTCTAACACACCACAAAGACCCAGAATCTGTGTTCATTGGACTCTACGTCAAAGATGCCCCACCTGAGAGGCGGAAAACACATAAGAGTTATGTGTCATTTAAAGATTATCCGCATTCCACTTTCCCTCCTTATTTTCCAGGGGGAGCATATGTTGTCAGTTCGAACATTGCTGGAAACTTGACCCGAACGTTTCCTTACGTCAAACACCTGGTTGTCGATGACGTGTATATTGGAATTGTTGCTCAAAAACTAAATATTACTTTAGAACATTCCAGGCTCCTGGATTTCCGTAACTGTGCCAACTACTCTCAGATCATTGCGTGTCGAGGCTATTCTAACAAAAAGGAGATTTTCGATGGATGGATGAATCTTGTCAGGGAAATGGATTTTTCGGTAAATCTTCATTGAATTTTAAATCTTATAAATGAAAAAGAATATTTGCAAAGTTAGTCTTTAGCAGCAAAAAGGACCACCCTTTGAATCAGTTTTGACAGTGCACATTGATGTAGTTATTCAAAATGAAATTATGAAACCCGTGCAACTAAGGATGGGTATCGCCAAAAATTTTGTATCGCGATATATCACGATTTCCCCCAAAAAATATCACGATAATATCATGATATTTATACACATAATTTTTACTATGATTTTAATAAATTTCCATAATTCTTCCTAATAAATATATAGTGTGAAAACATAACATAACCTTTTTTTTTCATTTCTATTTTTTTTTTTTTACTAATAAAGCATGTCTGGATGCTAGGATGTCATTGTTTTACTGTTTTACAACATTTTTTTTACAATTCTTGTAATTTTAATTCAAGAGTTAAAACGAAAAATTTATTATTTCCGGAATTTATAATTACATAATAAATACCGGTATTTCAACCTCCGTATCAGGATACGTATCGCTGAATAAAAAATCATGATATACCGGTAAACCGATAAAATCGCACATCCCTACGTGCAACAATCCATGATCCACCGGGGATTTTTTCCTCAACAAAAGGTCCAATGTCACCATTTTAGCATTTTTCCGGTAGCAGGCCGGTTTGCACTCAGGTTATTTTTAAAATAATAAGGGACAATAACCGAATTGTAGTAGGATATTTAACCTGCTATATGTGGGAGCTCATTTCCGTATCTTTCCGGGAGACGCAATATATAGAGATATGACACCGTAAGATCAAAATCACCGTCACGATAATTGAAGTTTTATTGAAATGATCAATTTAAAGCTTAAATGCCCTATCGGCTTTAGAAAGTTTCAAAAATGCAATTGATGTTAAATATCACTATTTAGCACACTATTCACATGAAGTTTACCATCATCTCAAAATGTCGATCATTCAATATGTGTACATGTATAAACTCTGTTAGATCAATTCATGTCTAATTCATGCAACCTTGTGCTGCAGAATGTTTGAATTTTGATCTATTCTTTCAAGAGGCGAGATTAAAAAAATGTGTATCAAAGTACAGTGTATATTTAATTTATTCACATAAAGACAGCTGTGCGTGACTGTAAACATGGATGTTTAAAAAAAGAAGCAAATCAAAATAAAACAGACCCCCCCCCCCCCAAAAAAAAGAAGAGAAAATAAAGAAAGATGTGGGACTCTGGGGGTAAAGTCGTTTAAAAAATATCTCTTTGAGACCAACTTGTCATGAAGGATTGCATAATTATATATTGTACATGTAGATTCGATTTTAGATTATATAAGACTTGTCATTATCACAGGTGCTTGTGGACAGCCCCCCCCCCCCTCCGAATATACACCCTAAGTCCAAGGATATTTCTATATATTAATCTTCTATTACATATATACAATGTATTTCATATGAAAAATGAAAACGCATGGCTCATGGCTTGGTCAATCGAATGATTTCTATTGACTTTATTGATAAAATTGCGAACTCCTGTGGTTAACACCAGAGACGTATAATATGTCTTTGAGAGGACGTGAAAAAAAGTTTGGATGAAATAGTGTTATTTTTTTCAAAATCAAAATGGTTCTTCACAAATGGAAAATACTTTGAAATTCACGACAAATGTGCACTCGATCTTTAGAAAGGAAGGCTGTCGTTCCCCATGTATAAAGAAAGGTTAGGGGAAGTATGCCGTGACTTAAGGGATAGGTCTAAATCCTCAAAACTTTTAATAGTTATTTAATCTACAGCATACAGTTATCAAATGCACACACACACACACACACAAGCAAAAATTAAACAAAGCAAAACAAAACCAAAACAAACAAACAAACAAAAGAACTTCAAAAGGTTCATATATAGCAACTACTTATTTTATGAACATGTATGTAATTGTAAAATAATCGATAATTCCACAAAGTGGAATGGGTGGGGAAAATAAACCTACAAACAATACTGCTCTGAGTACCATCAGTTCTTAAACCGAGGTAGACTACACAGATAAGCTGATGTTACAGGGATTTCAAAGTCAGTATTTTGCAAATTCTATGGTCGTTATAATGACCTTGTTAGCAAATATAACCTACCATTGGGTCGTATTTTGACTGACATATTTCACACTTACTGTTAGGGCTTTGTTTTTATACTAAATTTGACTTCAGAATATCCATCTACCTGATCAATACGGATCATGGCGGACGGGATGCTTACTCCTCCTAGACACTCTGGAATTTCCGATGGTCCGTGTTTTATGCCTTGTTCACAGATTTGCATTGTTTGTAGTTTGTTTTTTTTTTTTGGGGGGGGGGGTCGTTTTTGTTTTGTGTTGTTTGTTTGTTTTTTTTGGATGATCGATCACTGTTAGTTATGTTCACCTTTCCAACCTTTTTCATTCCAATTATTCAGTCATTATATTTGGTACATCATTAACGTCCATCATGGTAAAACTTTGTTTTATTCTACTGTTATTAAGTTCACTATTAAGAACTAAAATGATTTTGATATGAAAATATTCCAAGTTAAAAATGTTCAGGTAAAAAATGTCCGTCCTAAACTCTATAGATTGACAATAAAAACCATATGCAGGTGATAGTGGAATATTACTATATAACTAACAAGACTAAGGAAAGTTGACGAAGGAAAATCTGAAGTCATCTCGTTTGTCATACAATTTAGTTGTTAGTTGGCCCTTATCGTCTCTCATGGTCTATAGTCATGATACATAATCAGAGTTAATTAAAACAAAGATTTTAATTTTGAGGTCCTTTTTCATTTACTAAGCTGGAATATATATATATATATATATATATATATATATATATATATATATATATATATATATATATATATATATATATATATATATGTTGAGGATCCTACTTATAAAGATGATTCTATCAATAAAATTCCTGACCTGATATTGATTTAAAAGAGGTATGAGAATCTACAGCATGTATTTCTCTCTCTCTCTCTCCCCCCCTCTCTCTCTATATATATATGTATACAAAACGCCCGGATTAGAGGAGTTGCTGGTTTTCTGAGGTTTACAAGGAACTGAAAGAACACAAGGACTTTTTATATCGGCCGATTTTGAGGGATTGCTAGTTTTCAGGGGTTTTACTGTAATACTGTCAGTAAAATACTTGAAAGAACTGCGAACGATAGTATTGTTCTCCCGCCTATCTCCAAGTCAATTTTCAAAAGTCAACACATTTGAATGATTTTTCATATCTATATAGATATTTATATGAATTTTCATAAAACATTACTTCTCTATAATTTTGGTTACACTTGTGTTTTTCACAATAGAAATCAACGGAAAACGGAAAATATTTTTAAAACATTCCCCCCCCCCCCGAATTAAAAATTCCTTTTTACAGGTAATTTGGACTGTCATTTCACAAATTCATACTAAAGCTTTTTGTGTTTCACGGGGGGGGGGGGGGGGTGTTATGTTTAAAGGCAAAAAACTACAAAAATGCTTATTTTTTCACCAATTTCAAAGGGGTTTACAACTAAATAATATATTTTAATTTTATATGAGTAAAACATAAGAAAAGTTTTAAAATGGGAAAGTAGAACGTTTCAGGGACTGTATGCCTCATTAGGGAGAGGGTGGGGAACAATATGGGCTTAAAAAGAATTAAAACCTTTATATTCAATATATGTGGTATTTAATTGCAATTGTCACTTTGTATCCATACTTGGCATTTGGTTTATGTGTCACTTCTATAAAATTAATATGTGTCACGTTCTTGGGTATAATTGACAAAATTTAAAGAACTACGCACGTCAACTCTCCATTCCCGCCTACATTTTACTCCCATTCAATTCAATACTAATGACAATTTGGCCGTAAAATGTTGCATGTAAAGAACAGTTCAAAGGTAATTGACTGATGATTTTAATACCAGTGTTAAATAGTTAATTATCCCTAATTCCAGCTCTTTGAATAGGGGGGGGGGGGGGTAGACGATATTTTTCATTGAAATCGGGCTTTAAAGTATCACCACATTTTAAAATATTCTTGGATATGTGTCACGTTCTTGGGTATAATTGACAAAAAGTGGAAAAGAACTACGCACGCCAACTCTCCATTCCCGCCTACATTTTACTCCCATTCAATTCAATACTAATGAAAATTTGGCCGTAAAATGTTGCAGAACAGTTCAAAGGAAATTGACTGATGATTTTAATACCAATGTTAAATAGTTAATTACCCCTAATTCCAGCTCTTTAAATAAGGGGGTAGACGATATTTTTCATTGAAATCGGGCTTCAAAGTATCCAAGAATATTTTAAAATGTGGTGATACTTTAAAACCCGATTTCAATGAAAAATATCGTCTACCCCCCTTATTCAAAGAGCTGGAATTAGGGATAATTAACTATTTAACACTGGTATTAAAATCATCAGTCAATTACCTTTGAACTGTTCTTTACATGCAACATTTTACGGCCAAATTGTCATTAGTATTGAATTGAATGGGAGTAAAATGTAGGCGGGAATGGAGAGTTGACGTGCGTAGTTCTTTAAATTTTGTCAATTATACCCAAGAACGTGACACATATTAATTTTATAGAAGTGACACATAAACCAAATGCCAAGTATGGATACAAAGTGACAATTGCAATTAAATACCACATATATTGAATATAAAAGGTTTTAATTCTTTTTTAGCCCATATTGTTCCCCACCCTCTCCCTAATGAGGCATACAGTCCCTGAAACGTTCTACTTTCCCATTAAAACTTTTCTTATGTTTTACTCATATAAAATTAAAGTATATTATTTAGTTGTAAACCCCTTTGAAATTGGTGAAAAAATAAGCATTTTTGTAGTTTTTTGCCTGTAAACATGCATACACCCCCCCCCCCCCCCCCGTGAAACACAAAAAGCTTTAGTATGAATTTGTGAAATGACAGTCCAAATTACCTGTAAAAAGGAATTTTTAATTCGGGGGGGGGGGGGGGGGAGATGTTTTAAAAATATTTTCCGTTTTCCGTTGATTTCTATTGTGAAAAACACAAGTGTAACCAAAATTATAGAGAAGTAATGTTTTATGAAAATTCATATAAATATCTATATAGATATGAAAAATCATTCAAATGTGTTGACTTTTGAAAATTGACTTGGAGATAGGCGGGAGAACAATACTATCGTTCGCAGTTCTTTCAAGTATTTTACTGACAGTATTACAGTAAAACCCCTGAAAACTAGCAATCCCTCAAAATCGGCCGATATAAAAAGTCCTTGTGTTCTTTCAGTTCCTTGTAAACCTCAGAAAACCAGCAACTCCTCTAATCCGGGCGTTTTGTATACATATATATATAGAGAGAGAGGGGGGGGGAGAGAGAGAGAGAAATACATGCTGTAGATTCTCATACCTCTTTTAAATCAATATTAGGTAAGGAATTTTATTGATAGAATCATCTTTATAAGTAGGATCCTCAACATATATATATATATATATATATATATATATATATATATATATATATATATATATATATATATATATATATATATATATATATTCCAGCTTAGTAAATGAAAAAGGACCTCAAATATATAATCTTTGTTTTAATTAACTCTGATTATGTATCATAACTAGAGACGATAAGGGCCAACTAACAACTAAATTGTATGACAAACGAGATGACTTCAGATTTTCCTTCGTCAACTTTCCTTAGTCTTGTTAGTTATATAGTAATATTCCACTATCACCTGCATTTGGTTTTTATTGTCAATCTATAGAGTTTAGGACGGACATTTTTTACCTGAACATTTTTAACTTGGAATATTTTCATATCAAAATCATTTTAGTTCTTAATAGTGAACTTAATAACAGTAGAATAAAACAAAGTTTTACCATGATGGACGTTAATGATCAACCCCAGCAAAACTAATTTTCACTAACCCCGATTTATTTATTTTCCTACTCCTTAACCGAGCGGCCGCAACAACATGGGCACTATCATCAAGATGAGCGACCATCTCTTGAGCAACAGCAATTAGGTTTTCATTGGGTTCAAACTTAACATTTGTTGCTATAATTGTACATGTAACATTTGGGTCGTCAAGAGGATTGTTTACAAAACCACGCACACTATTTTCATACTTCGAGTATTCCCTACTGTCCCTATTTTCAACCAGTTCTAGCCGTTCAACAATAGAATCAATGGTCTGTGAAAGTGCGTCGATTTTTGATTTATGAATGGACAACTCAATGTCAATGTCACTCTTCATGGCCTTGAATTTTTCATCAATACTCGCTATAAACTCCATTCCATTTATCTGTAAGACATGTCCGTGATAATGTATTTATAATAGGTATTCATTGCCATTGTCACTTTGTGTCCATTTTGATCAGCTTATGAAACACTTTATCAAATCATTGTATTGCAATTTACATGTATCATAGCAGTCACTATTGTATTTTTTTAACAAAATCATACGTACATAAGTGCTAGAGCAAAAATGTAGTTGCACTGCATTCAAATTGCATATATATTTTCTCTCTTTCTTTATTTATTTCTTTTTTTTTTTTTTTTTTTTTTTTTTTTTGCTCCTTGGAAACTAGTATAATTGTTTATTAAGAGCCTTTCATTAAATGAATACGCATACCTAAAAATAAAGATCATCATATTGAACATGTATAAAAGTGTCTGATTTGCCTGCATTTTTTATACGAAATTGAAAATCAAATACGTCATTAGCTTTTATTTTATTTTATTTGACACAACCATTATCATACACTTCAAAATAATACATTTATTTTGAATGCAATGGATGATTCTTAGATTGTTACAATAAATCACTTTTCCATCATGTTATTCTAAAATCTACTGTGGAATCATTTTATATGGGTGGGGTCAATGTTAAATTGTGGGTAACCAAAATTTTAAATGGACCAATTTTCGTGGGTGACTCATATTTACAGATGATTGAACCAATGTCCTGACAAAGTTGTTGCTCAAGTTGATTTAGATCTGTGGGTAAGCAGTGCTTTTCCCTAAGAACCAGTTACTGGCTAAATTAACCACCACAATCGATAAAAATGCTGCTCTAGAATCAAAATTAAAAAAAAAAAATTCTTGTAAGATCCATAAATATTTGTTCATAAACCTTTTCCCCTAGCCTGTTACAACTGATCTCCCTTTACTTTGAAATAAATGGAAAACACTGGGTAAGGTTGATCCACTAAATCTACAAACGGTGATGATTCCACAGTATCAATTATGCTTTTCTCTTAACCCTGTTGTTAAAAACAAATACATTTTCAACTCAATAACAAAAGCAAATAACATTTGAATTACAATAAATTACAACGGGAATGCGCTGTTTTGTATTTTACAGCAATATCTGCTCTGTTAAATTCATAGTCATGATAGTAGCACTTTTGTTAATTTTCAAACATAAATAAGAGGTAAATACATATAATTATAATTACATATAGTGTAGGTACTGTAATTATAATTACACATAGTGTAAGTGCCTGTCACAGATACATCTACTTTCATCTAAAAAGAATTTATGGAATTGTATGCAGTTTATAGCAAAACAGCAAAAGTAAAAGGATATATAAAACGAATCAAATCATACAAAAATCTGATAACTCTGCAATTCAAAGCGTAATCTTTACTAATTACCATACAAAAACCTTAGCTTAGTTGAAAATAAACAGTTTAATTCATTCATAAAATCTATCACTACATGTATATAAATATAAAATAAGGGCACAGATACATTTTTAAATAATTTCTTAAAAAACTTAAAAAAGAAATTTTCCTAAGCTGTTTCAAAACATGGCACCAATAGTTTCCTAATCCATGCCAGTTGGGCTTCATGTATTGTTGTGAACATTTGTATGGATCTATGGGACAGGTAGTTGGAGGAATGGAAATCATGGGCCCCTAACGTGACTAGACGCTAGCAGGAACAAGCAGACGACTCTTTGACCTCGGAATGCTGAGAGCGGAGGTGAATTGTACTACCAGGCACCACTGATCTAGCCATGGAATTAGAAAAGCCATCTAACTCAGCATGTTTTGTCATCATTTCCTCAATCAAGAATCTAAAAATAATAATGAATGCATAAAATTTTCATCCTATCAATGTGATATGTGTATATTGGTGACAAATTTATTCATAAAATTTCAACATGATTACTACTTCAAAGAATACAGCAACCTTCAAAGAATAATTCCCTTAAAACATAGCTTGGACTCTTATCAGCAAGGGGCATAACTAAATCCAGTTATTATTATTTTTTTTAAAAACTGAAAATAGTTTATAAATCTTTCACACTTAATTCATTTCATGAGTTGTGTCCCTTTAAAAACCGTTTCACTTGTTTCTTGATTAACTCAAAACTGCCATGAAGAACAAGAAGATATGAAAAAATAACCAATTCCAACTACTTTTTTTTAAATCTTGCAAATACATGGCCACTTTGTAGTTTTATTCTTGATGCATATTGAATATTTTTCATCAGATTGATGCTGTGGGTTCGAATCTTTGGATGAGGCAGTATTAATTGAAGTCCCATATCATGGTATAGACTGGCACAATATTAAAAGATCTCTTACTGTTCAATGGTAATAAGTGCTGAGTACAAAGGACAAGATATGATACGGCCAAATCTGGCTCCTTATTTGATGTAAAAATCAGAACACAGTTCAAACTGTGATAGTTTGTTGTTAGGAACTTAAAATGATGCTTGTTTTAAAACCAACACTAATTTTGATTCAAAGCTTTTACAGAGGCCACAAGAGGGTGCAGAATTATGACATTTTCTTCAATTTCCTCAATTCTGGTGGAATTTCATCAAATTTAAGATACTTTTCACTTCGGAAAACATAGAGCACAAGCTTGCCTATCTGAGATTTTTATACATAAGATGCATCTGATACTAGTGTATGAAATATATAAATCTGGTAGATAGGCAAACTTGTGCTCTATGTTTTCTGAAACAAAATGTGCTGTAAAATCGATGAAAATTTGCATAAAAATGAGAAAATAAGGAAATTGACAAATTTTCTGACCTTCCTGTGACCTCTATGTATCCCATAATGTAGAACCAATACTCATTTTGTGGTAGGGGTGACAACAGGTTTTCATTGATAAACTGTTGTATCATTCTAAAAGACACCCCAATTCAGGGGCCAAAAAGGGGTCTTAGCCTATCTTGTCCTTTGTAGCCTTCATTGCACTAGCAATTGGTGGCATCCAAAAATGAGAGAAATATTTTCAAATGAACACAAGGTAAACAAGCAAACATCTTTTATTAGACTGAAAGATGAACAAGTCAATTCAGAAAAATATGGTTGTACATGAGAAAAATCTTGTAAATGTTGTAAATGTGTCTTGTACTAAAAAAAATATGCCTTAAAAAAGTGCTATTTGACCTTAACTACTTCTTACAAGTTTCAGTGTGTGTTACTGCTCGGGGGGGGGGGGGGGGGGGGGGGGGCAAAAACAGAAAAACAGGAAAGCAAAAAAAGCCAGGATATTATAGGAGCATTTGCTGAGGTTTATAAATGTGAAGATAACTTGATATGAATTAAAGAAATATATAACTGGATTAAGTATGCCCCTGTCTGTTTTTGGGATCATATTCAAAAAATTTATCACTGTACGCACTCTTAAAAAGCAAAATTGACCATAAAAAACTAAAACACATTAAAGACTGCAGTTGAGCAGTTACATTACCTCATTGACTCGTCAATCATGAGTCCTTCTTTCACAGAGGTTTCTGTCCAGCCAACAAAGTCATGCTCCTTGCACATGTCCTCAATCTCATTCTGTTGGACTTCACGATGACTCAAGTCACACTGAGAATAAAGAAACAAGACAGCCTTAGTCAGCATCAAATTGAAAGATACTGATCTTTCTGTGAAAAAATTTAGAAGGTCATTCTTTGTAATGCATTTAATATATATATTCTTAATTTTAAGAAAGAGAGGGGGAAAGAGAGAAAGCAAGATTTCAAACAAATTTAAATTGCTGAAATTAAACTCTGTTAATTAAAAGACTTAATGCATGCTCGTAAAAAATTGTAATTTTATGAAAAATATTATCTACCACCTACCAGTAGTTTTAATAAAATACTGAATACAATAAATGTTTTATAAGCATATTCTAAGCAATATTGAGAGTGGAAATTCAAATATGCTTATATACATATTTCATTCAAATTTCGGCGCCATACTGCTGAGATGTCATTGGTGAAAATTTTGTGAAAGAAAGATGAAAATCTGCACACTGTTAAAAGAGTTACCAATGACAAGTGTAACACAATTAAATTAATTTTGTTGTCATGAGTTGACATGCATATTCAAAATATTAACTTTTGCATGATGATGCATTTATTTTTTATTTGCAGTTTCAATAATGTAAAAAGGCTCTTCTAAAATTGCTGAATATATTTTGTTAAAACTTTAGAAACATAGCTGAAAAACATGAGAGAAATTATTGTATGCAGAACTTTTGTGTATAATTATATTATCTGACCTTATTTTACTTTCATTTCAACAAAGCAAATTATTTTTATTAGATGTAACAATTATAGATGCAGTTGAATTTGAAATCTTGGATTCATTCTTGGGAGGAGGACTTTCGAATGATAGTAATTTGTTTCCAATATCTACTTGTCAAGGTCAAGAAATGCACACTTGCCCTGCACACACAGCCTTCATTTAAAAATTGTCCTCATCTAATAAATCCGTACTACAACTCTCTGGTAAGAAGGCTTGCATTGAAAAACTGTAGCTGTAGCATAGACACACCTTATTGGCCAGAAGTAGACAGGGTATAGGTGATCCGTCAGCTAGAGAACACTTAGTGTCAAGGTCTTTCTTCCATTTTACAGCATTCTGGAAGGTGGACTGCTGGGTCAGATCAAACATAATTATACAGGCATGGGCGTCTTTGTAGTAGACCCGGGTCATCGACGTAAAACGTTCCTGACCTGTAAATATAATACATATAACACATTAAGTATACCTTACTGTTCATAAAGGAATGATTAAATGATAAATATAAAAGTTTCTTATCATACCAATGTGATCAATTTTATTTTAATCTGTGTAAACAATAATCATGTCCTTGTAATCATGTCAACAATCAATTATTTGTTCATATCTACATGTTTACTTTTATTTGTTTAATGTGCCTTGGGAAAGATAATTCTTCTAGGAACAAAATATTAAAAGTGCTTATCAAATTGTGAAAAACCTTTCAATAATTTTGCCAGCAAGACTATCTGGATCTAAACCAGGACCTGCCTTTCTCATTAAATATTACATGAAATTTTCATATCATATCATTATCCACAGATTACAGCAGTCCTAATACAAACTGAATACCATATGTAAGCATACTTTGAATTCTAGAAAATCGGTAAAAAAAAAAGGCTTCGCCCAATCTTCCGAATTCGCCCTATCTAAGGATCCTTTTAAAAAATTAAGGCTAAAATTTTGAATGCGCATCTGCAAGTTATTTGGCTCCATATGGCAGCAAAGAGGTGTAAATGTGATGTGATGTGCTACATTACTGTGGCATGACATTTGCATTTCACTAGCACTTGATATATGTGCAAGTACACTACAGTTGAACTTCGGTATATCGAACATGGATATCTCAAATACCATGGATATGTCGAAGTGATTGGGTAGTCCTAACCATGTGTTTCTTAAGTATTTTACCCTTGCAGATATCTCAAACCCTCAGATATCTCAAAGTTTTTTCTCAGTTACGAGTTTGAGATATTACGAGGTTTGACTATATTTAAGGTGTTCAAAAACTTTACAAGCAAACTCTTATATATTGAATTTAGATACCTACCTGCAATGTCCCATAACTGAAGTTTTATGGTCTGAGTGTCTGACCACTTCACAACCTTTAGAGCAAAATCAACTGAAAAACAAATCAGTCAGAATATATACAGTGTGTCATGAAAGACATACTGATTGTAATTCAAATCTCTCTACCTTCTACCCCTGTATTACACATTTTATATGTTTTAATTATAAGCACTGATGGGAAACACAGTAAACGCCATTTGCAAGGATCTTCACAGATATAAGATTGTACAAGGCTTTCAAAATCTGTCGGTACCCAGTACTTTTACCTGGCTGAAAGCAGAACTGTACCGACCAAGAAAGATATGATAACATACATGTACATGTACCAACATGTTCAATTAAATTGCTTCTGCCAGCTAGGTTCCTCCTATTTTTGTAAATTAAAGTACCACCTGCTTTAAGTTTTTTTTGAAAGCCCTGATTGTATACTTTCTACAATAGACAAATTCCAATCTTGTTAACACTTATACAAATGTTAATAGCATGCATTTAACTTATTCCTTTGCATTCACATACCTCCAATGGTCATCTTATAGTCTCGTCTGTATGCATCATTCACATATCTCTGGACAAATGAGGTTTTACCAACTGTGGGGTCACCAATAATAATGACCTTGAACAAAATTTCTGTCATTATTTTAAACCTCATTCACTTGTCTATGTTTCTTCTGAAGGTCAGCTTAGACTATCCATTCTACAGAGAAAAAAACCTTCTTCTGAATCTGCCTGAAAAGTTTAACATAAACATTAAGAAAAAAAAAATTATATTAGCTTGCATATAGGCCTATAGATCTATAATGTCTGAATAAACTGTAGAATAACTTATAAACTTTACATATTATTTTGGATAAAATATAAAGTACGTCAACACTCAGGATTCTTTACCTTGGAGAATTTAAAGAAAAAAAAAATGCCGACCTTGTTTGACTTCTCAACGATATACGTATTTTATATCCAATCCTTAAACGTTACATTGATTATTATTGATTACTTTATACCTATCGCTTTTATCAATATAAAATATGACTATGAACACATTACTTCCGCCAAAACAAATGTATCACATGATCCTGTCATATGATTGTCACCTCAAAAGACAAAAGAGTTCCTATTATCAATGGCGGGATATTCAAATCTTGAGAAAGACAGTGGAGAAAAGAATTTTTTTCATTGCATCTTTTCTCTTCTAAAATAAATTAAGTCAAGAATTTTCGCATAATAACAGAACTATTTAAATCTGAGATTCTGAGAAAAATTTTAGTGTTTTAATTGTCAACAAAATTGTCTTTTAATTCGCGAACATAGGCATAGTATCACAGGCACTTGTTTCGTATATGTGGTCACCCCCTTATTTTTCTTTTCACGTTGAAAAAAAAAAGGGGGCTGATCCCATATGCGAAACAAGTGTCTGTGCATAGTATCCTAACGACTGCATAAAATTAGTTTTAATGTTTCTCTTTTGATAATCTTAATAATTGATTTATTCATTTATACTCCGATGAATTAGATACATGTAACACCCCCACCCCTCATCCCCAATGAGTTGACAACTACACTGAACTAGTTCCAACATTTTACCGGCCATTAATCTCCAAGTGCAAATTTGAAGATATGAATTGATTTCAACAAACAACCTTATGAAAAAAATAATATAATAAAAATTGACGTATTTACTGCATAATTTCATTTATTCTCTATTGAGAAGTTGATGGCTCATTTTAATACTCCCCCTCCAAGGGGAGTATTAAAACGAGCCATCAACTTCTCAATAGAGAATAGATTTCATTAGATTACAGTTGAATAAGGTTAACCTGGATGCTTAATTGTGTTCCAGAGCCAACTGTCCAGATTAATTAATGAAGCTCATATTTTCTAGAAATATAAGTGAATTGTTCTCTAAAATTTCTGTTCGTAAGGTGCAGAATTGAATTATCAGTAGTACTAGTATGTCATAACTGAACACAGTAAAACAAACTTATTACGAAGTGCCAGGGACAGATTATTTTGATTCGTAGTAAATGTAATTTGTTATATCCATTAGTATCACAATTCCCTGTAAGCGTCAATTCATTATGAGCATGTTTGATCTAAGCATGTTTTACACTACCATGCACTGTTCATTCCTTTTATTCCCTACAATTAATTAATTACATTATACAATATGGCCATTTCACAGAGCATGAAAGATGTTCAGAAGTTGGTATCCTAGTTTAAATTGGTCCATTTTGCCTCTCTGATACCAAACACTGTTAAGACTGATTCTGTCTGTTTTTTTTTCTCTATGGTACAGATGTACAGGCAATGCCTGTCTATAAAAGTGACAAGTTTTCATTTGTGCTCCTAGAAACATTCAGCTCATGTGCCCTGGGGATCCTGACACACATCACTATATTAAAACACACTTACATGTAAATCCAAGTGTCAGGGATGGACGATTTTCCTTCATTATAAACGTAATTGATTATATCCACAAAGTTCACAATACATTTTAAATCAAGGGGAAAGTAAATCACTTCCCCATAAGCATTAATTCATTATAAGCATGTTCACTATAAGCTTGTTTTACTGTATTTATAGAGGGTTATCAGACTTTTCCCGGAATTTACATTGTTTAATATTGGTTCTATATTTTATTTTATCGAGGACACATGCTTTCCTAGGTTTGCATAGTAATGATAGTATGCATGTTTACTTATAGATCATTTGATAATTCCATCATTTTGTACTTATTGAATTCATGATTCTTATTTACTGTTTCAGATAAGGCCATAAAAAATTAATTAATAGTTTCTCAGGCCAAAAATTTCAAAATTCAATGCGGCAGGCCTTTTTTTTTTTCTTTTTCTTTTTTTTTTAAATTTTGGAGGCAGGTGTTACACCTTTTTCATGTCAGTCATTTAACAAAATGAAGGTATAAACTGATTCTTACTTTTTTTGTTCTTTACATTAATTATGATATGTGATTCAACTGTAAATAATGTTATTCCAAGCAAAGTTAACTCATAAAATACCGTATTAACAAGAAGTGTATTGGTTATCTAATAAAAACGTCTATCTATTAGCATTTATGAAAAGGGGAATAACTCAATTTTCTGTTTCAACTTGGAAAAATAGAAAATTGAGTTATTTCCCTTTTCAATATGTCAATAAAATTGATCAATGCGGCAGAATTTGACCTAGTGCGGCGGTGCCTGAGAAACTATTGATTAATTTTTTTGGCCTAACTGTGTTCATTGTTATTAAAGTTGATCCCTGAAACAAATAGTGAACACAGTCATCTAGGAAAGCATGACATTAGAGGGAGTCACCATATTCGTTGAAGCTAAGGAAGCAGGAAAACGATCGGCCTCTCAACACTCACGCCTTAGAAGCAGCTAAAAGTTCATACAAACGTAAAAAGCAACCATCACTAAAAGATAGAACCAATAATAACCATAATGTAAATTCTGGGAAAAGTCTGATAACTGTCTAACTTGTGATTTCTCAATTAAGAAACATGTTGCAATTCATTAGAAATGCTTTTAATTTTCTCTCCTTCTCATTATTATTCATGATACATTGATAATGAAAAAACAAATAAAAATAGGTATACAAAGTGTAACATAAGACTGAATGCTCCACATACATGTAAACATGCGTGTCTCTACAAATGATACAAATATGCATCAGAGCAGATCTTATGGTAGACTACAAAATCTCCAAAATAGGTTAAATTAGTTTAATTATTTACAGGGACCTCTAACATTTTTTTCTTAAGAAAAGATAACAAAAATATGTTTTATCAGTATTAACAAAATGGAGTGAAATTTTTACTATGCATTAAATGCAGATGAACATACATGTACATGTAAAATTGACACTGATAAAAGTTGCAGTGAATTTTACATCAGAATTCTTTTATGCATCCTTTTAGAGAAAAAAAATACATATAGATGCGTATTTTAAAAACTACATGTAAGTAACTATGCATAATATATTACAAGAGAAATGTAAATGAAATAAAATAGTGGCTGGTTGATGAGAATATTGTAACTGCTGCCTGACATACCATGGGTCCAAGTAAGTTTTTCCGCACATCTAAATTCGTAAATATCCTAATACAACATCATATATTCAAGAACTTCTTATAAATCTCCTAAAAAGCACTAGTAGAGTGTTCTCCAGCTTCATGGTTTGTGTTCTTTCACAAACTGATTCAGAAGTTCTAAAATTCTGTAAACACTATTCTCGAAATGTTCGTAAAAATTGCAACATCCACTTGAGACTCTTTCAATCATCTATATATGGCAACCAAAAAGCCTGTAAAAGGTTTAGATAATTAAAATTTAAACATTTTGATATGAGTAGTAATTTCCACTCAATTTTCATAAACTCACATGTTGTATCCCTGAAAGAAATAAAGGAAAATACCATATTTGTGCAGGCTGATGCCAGCATCATGTATTTGGGGTTGAACTGTAGGCATTGGATTGGTCCAGGATGGTCAGCATTCATAACAGCAACCTTCACCCCTGTCTCTGTGTTCCAACAGTGAATTCGTCCATCAGTTGAACCTGTTTAAAGACACACTACACTTAGCTTGTTCTTTTATTACAAGAAATGATTTTGCATAGTTGACTTGTAAACTAGGGCACCCCACAGTAAACCATCCTTTTTTCAGGAAAGATAATCCGATATCTTGTTCATAACATTAATGACACCACTGTCCATGACTCAAGGCTTTTTTCCTTTTTCTCTTGTCTTACAGCTTTTCTGAAAAATATATGACTAATTGTTCACAGCATCCTTTGAATTGTGTCAATATCTTTTGTTCCTGCCTTTGAGCTTTGACCTTTTGACTGTGAAATCAATAGGAATCTACTTTTGGCCACCATGCATAGCTGTAGCATGTAGGAGCATAGGCTATTTTTCTGTATTATAAGTTTACCCCATAATAAACATGGCTGAGGGAAATCTTATGTAGGTATATCTTATTTTGCTTATTTAGCTTACGTGTGACGTCATTGTTGGTTTTTCAAATACACGAGAAACGTAACATGATACGTTTTTGTCACACTTATGTCCTCTTTAATGATGTCCTGTGAAATAATGAGGTCAGCTTCATCATTCGAAACTTTTACAGTTAATCAATAATTTGAAGGATTTGCATTTCAATGTAAATTAAACAAGAGGCGCAAGGGCCTTAACGGTCACCTGAGTATGATAAAACAATTTCAAGGATGCATAGAGTATAAAATGAATTGAAAGGTGAAGCTTTGTTGCCCAAAAGCAAGAAAAATAGGGTGATCATGATCAACAAAATAATTGGTCTTAATATTCATTAACAGTTCATAAATTAGGTTCTAATCTGTTCCCCATTTATCACTATCACTATACAGTATATTAACAAATTATCAATGCTTCTGTACTATTTTAATCCTTTGTTGAAATCTCTTACATTACCATCTCTTGGTCTTTGATGAATATTTAATAAGACAAGTTATTTTTGTCTCATTTTTATTTATCTACTACTTACAAGTCTATCTGATCATTAAAACTATGAAAGTACTTTTTGTATTATACAATAAAAGTTTTTGCATAATTCTCTATTTACCTTTCAAGTACATTATTTACAGTGATAAATTATCAAAAGTAAATGGCAAAGGGGAATAACTCCTCTCAGTAGAATACAAACTAATAGAGCCCTGGCCAGGACCAGAACACTTGACCAAATGGTCCAGATGTTCAAAAATCTGGTAAAAATTCCCTTCCTTATAAAAACTTTTACTCTGTTTGCCTCAGATATGCCCAGGTGCGGAGAAGATTTTTAAATAAATAATGCATTTTTACTACAGATTCACTATATTATCAATAGAGCCCCCCCCCCCCCCCCACCCCCAAAACACCAGAGCTTCTGACCCTGGGACCATATGTTTGCTCATCATCACTTTGTTTATCTGCTTAACACTAAGGAGCAAACAGGATTATTTAATGGAATTAATGCATTTTCACTAAATTATCAAGAGCCCCACCCTCACACCAGCACATCTGACCCAGGGGTCATGAAATTCACTACTCTGGAAGAAGCACACTTGCTCATCATAACTATACACTTAGCTTCTTTGCTTTTTTAACCAGAAGAAGAAAAGAATATTTTCAAAGAAATTTTGCTTTTCCACTTTATAATCAATAGAAGCCCCCCCCCCCCCCCCCCTCACCAGAACCCTTAAACCTGGGGTCATAAAATTCACAATTTTGGAAGAGGCATCCTTGTGTATCATAACAATGTACTTCAGCCTGTTTAAGCAATACCCAGGGGCAGAGAAGAAGATTTTCAAAGAAATAATTCACCTTCACTATAGGATCTATATAGCCCCGCCCTAGCACCAGAACTCCTGTCCCCGAGGCCATGAATTTCACAATTTTGGAAGAGGCATCCTTGCTTATCATAACAATGTACTTAGTTTGTTTAAATAATACCCAGGTGCAGAGAAAAAGATTTTTAAAGAATTAAAACATTTTCACTTTATAATCAATAGAGCCCCGCCCTAACACCAGAACCCCTGATCCAGGGGCCACGAATTTCACAATTTTGAAAGAGGCATCCTTGATTATCATAACTATGTATTTAATGTGTTTCAATAATACCCAGGAGTAGAGAAGAAGATTTTCAAAGGATTAATGCATTTTCACTATATAATCAATAGAGCCCCACCCTAACACCAGAACCCCTGACCCAGGGGCCATGAAATTCACAATTTTGAAAGAGGCACTCTTGCTCATCATAACTATGTACTTAGTTACTGAATCTAATACCCAGGAGCAGAGAAGAAGATTTTCAAAGGATTAATGCATTTTCACTATATAATCAATAGAGCCCCGCCCTAACACCAGAACCCCTGCCCCTGGGGCCATGAATTTCACAATTTTGAAAGAGGCACTCTTACTCATTATAACTATATACTTAGTAAGTTTATTTAATACCCAGGAGCAGAGAAGAAGATTTTAAATGAATTAATGCATTTTCACTATATAATCAATAGAGCCCCACCCTAACACCAGAACCCCTGCCCCTGGGGCCATGAATTTCACAATTTTGGTAGAGGTACTCTTACTCATTATAACTATATACTTAGTTAGTTTATTGAATACCCAGGAGCAGAGAAGAAGATTTTAAATGAATTAATGCATTTTCACTATATAATCAATAGAGCCCCACCCTAACACCAGAACCCCTGCCCCTGGGGCCATGAATTTCACAATTTTGGAAGAGTCACTCTTACTCATCATAACTATATACTTAGTTAGTTTATTTAATACCCAGGGGCAGAGAAGAAGATTTTCAAAGAAATAATGCACTTTCACTATATGATCTATATAGCCCCGCCCTAGCACCAGAACCCCTGACCCTGGGGCCATGAATTTCACAATTTTGGTAGAGGACTCAATGCTTATCACAATGATGCCAACAGTTTGACTGCTTGATGTCCAGGAGTAAAGAAGAAGATTTTTAAAGATTGCATTAATTTTGGTGGTTTTAGCCCCACCCCTCAGGCCCCAGGGGGGCAGGGACCATGAAATTCAAAATTTTTGTTCCCCTTCACCCATAGATGCTATATGCCAAATTTAGTTGAAATTGGTTGAGCGGTTTCAGAGAAGAAGCTAAAAATGTTCAAATGTTAACGCACATCGCACGACGCATGACGCACGCCGACGGACAAAAACGGATAGCAATAGGTCACCTGAGTGACTCAGGTGACCTAAAAATATTGAATTATAGAATTTTTTGTAAATTACATTTTTTATTGTTTGAGTTGTCTTAAAAAGTGCATAATTTTCCCTATCCAGATGCAGTGTGATAGACAAAACTTGCTTTTTCGAATTTTAAATCCTAGGTATACTCTGAAATATTTTAAAAGATACAAGTCCACTTTGATATTTTTTATGTATGCTTAAAAAATCCCATTATGGACAGAGTAATGCGCCCGGAAACATGGAGAATTAAAACTCCACTTAGATACTGTAGGGCATAGTATTTGTGAATCAATATCTCAAAAATAAGGTTAGAAACCTAATGATATAACTGCTTTAAAGGTGCTTGGACACAGATTTGAAGTTAATATTTTCTCAAATTTTCTGTATAATTTCATGACTTATATGTTGCTATAGCATTTCATACTAAAATGTAATAAAAATCTTATTTCATCTCGAAGTTATCAAAACTTCGAATTTCTTGACGCGTTGGATTGACACATCCTTGCGCTTTCACATACTTTAATTTTATTCTTAATACTTAAGAAAAGTGGCAATTTTGTTGTTGTAACCCAGAAAATTCAGAGTAGAAATGTTCGAAAGCAAAACCCACTCACAGTATTGTTAAGTCCGTGCTCAGTGGTGTGTGCAGAGTTTAACAATTGAACACACCCGGTGAATCGTAAACATTAACAATAACAGAGCTCGTGCCCTGTTTACAGAAACAGTTTACGTTTCACGGGTGTGTTCAATTTGTTAAGCTCTGTACACATCACAGAGCACGGACTGACAATACTGGTGAGCTGGTTTTGCTTTCGAACATTTCTACTCTGATCTTTCTGGATTATAAATGTACTATTTTTCATTAATACATAACAGAATCACCTCTTTTCTTAAACATTAAGGATAAAGTTAAAATTTGTGTACCAGGGTAAGTGCAAAGATGTGTTAATCAAACACATCCCGTAATTCGTAGTTCCAATAATTTCCAGATAAAATAAATTTTTAATTATATTTTCGTGTGAAATGCTATTGCAATATATAAGTCGTGATATTATACAGAAAATTTGAGAAAATATTAACTTTAAATCTGTGTCCAAGCACCTTTAAGATATGTGGGACACACTTAATTCGAAATATACAAAACATGAAAAAAATTGAATGACAAGTAATTTTTCAGCTCAAGGTCCTTCTCCTCCTTAAATGTAAATTTTACTCAATAAATGATGAACTGTGATGTGTGCATACTATGAAAGTTATGAAATCACTTTTTTAAACATAAAGCCAATCAGTTGATAGACTTTTAGACTGACAATGGGCAATTTTATTTTCATGTTAATAGAAATATTTTTTGTGCCTTGTAATTGGAAAATATCAAATATATTTGTTAAAGATCTACCTTTTTTTGCCTCCTTGATTATATTTTCATAATGTTAAAGTATTACAGAGAATTAAGGACATATGCAAAGTACATATACACAAACCTTGCAACGTACATACCCACTGATAATTTTCCAAGATATTCTTAATTTAACATCATAGTACCATTGAAAGTTCGTTGACAAAAAATCAGCATACATTACCAGGGGTTTTGAAGAGATATCTAATGATAAAAAACCTTGGGTTTTTCGAAGAAAAATTAACAAAAATAAAGTTGTTTGTGTTTTTCCTTTACAATTTGATTAAGAAGAGGTGTACAGCATCATTAGGAATAATATTAGCCGCAAGAAAGTCTATCAATTTTTTAAATGTTTAAATTATACAGGGAATGAGTAAATAAAACTCAAAACTACGTTGCGTGTGTCCTTAATGTATGAAAGGCAAATACATTAACACATATTTAAATTTTAAGTTTAATAATCAATGCACACAAGGCATACAAGAAGTATCCCTAGTATCTCAAACATCTCCCAAAATTTATCTGATGGAAAAGGGATGTCTCCCAAAATTTGGGTCTAGGTTGGTCCCTGTGTACCAGAGTTGAGACATGAGTGAATGGCTCACTCAGTGATATAAATGATTTTGTGTTGTTTGTCTTTATGTTAAGAAAAAGGTTGGAGATGCATATTTTTTGTTAAGACAATTAATTTTATGATGGTAACCTGTTCAAGGGCAAGTCTCCAAAGTGCATTTGTACATGTACATTTTCTGGTATTTTTTTTTTCTATTTTAAAGGAGAATTTCCTATTCTCATTTATAAATGAAAATAATCTGCAAACAATACTTCTGTGAATTACTGTAATACACTTAATTTGATGTATGTACATGTAATACACTTGATTTACTGTGCTGCTCAATAATATCGATATTTCAGTATATTGCGATTCATTAACAAAAATATTGTATTGCGATACATTTTTCCAGTACCAATATACCGGCAAACTGTTTGGGCTTTAGATTTCCCAAGTAAAATATGAAATTTAATTTGTCAGAAATGTTTTCAATCGTGCCAGATAGTAAACAGTACCAAACGGTAATGCTGCTGTTGTATGGTTGCATTTCATTCCAAAACTGTAGTGAAATCAACAAAAATTTTTGTGCAACAATGTATTTATAATAATTTTACACACGTTGCCTATAGATGGAGGTTAATAAAATAAGAACTAGAAATCTGACCAGTCAGCAAGGGTCCCGCCGAGGGGTAGAAATATAAGGGTGCAGATTAGGGGATGAGGATTTTACCTGATTACAAAAATTTAAAAATATATAAAGAAGAATAAGCAACAGCAACTGCTAAATATCCAACAACCTGTAAATAGTTTCCTTGTATTTTCATAAGGTAGTAAAAAACATCATATCAATAATAACTCAATTAAATGTATATTTATAGAAGAATGAAGCATGTGTTTTCTAAAATGCCAGCCTTCAGTGAATGCAAATATCACCCAGGCTTGACCTTAACTTCAAAACAAACATCAGTTGCAGACAAAGGTGTTAATCAGACTTAAAGTGACAGAAAGATAACCCTATAAAATTTTCTGCAAGCAGCAAGATAATCAAAACCAGGGGATTAAGTATACTGCTTTCTCAACCTTTTCTTCTAAGTTTACAATAAGAACTTTTTCAGCAATGATAGAATGAAGTTATTATCTGAATATCTGTTAAAATAAATAATATGCTTGAATTTACATAAGGCAGAAAAAAAGAAAGAAAAAACTAAAATAATAATAAAAAAGATATCTTTATCTATACCTTGTTTTTAGAATTCAATACAATCATAACTCATTGTGTATTTTACCAAAATAAAGTATGAACATTATTTAAATTCACATTTCAGAGAATGTAAACATCATTCAGAATTGACCTTAACTTCAAAACAAACTTCATTTGCAGACAGAAGTGTTAATTAATCTCAATGTGGCAGATAAAGATAAATGCTTTGGATTTTCTTCAAGAGGAAAGTTAATTAATCCCAAGAGACTCATTGCAGCCTTTCCTAGTTTACAATAGGAACATTCTCAGCAGTTATCTCTCTTTGCCCATTCACTCTTATATAAAGTTAAGGACTTCCCCACCACCCCAGCACCAAACTTGATGACATAGAAAACCAAACTTACAGCATCAAAATATGTCTTACTACCTATTCAACCAACATACAAAATTTGAAGTTAATTGGTCAACCCTAAAAAAGTTACTAGAAAAAAACAGAAAATTTGTGGATGGAAGAATGACAGACGGACAGACAGACAGAGTGATTACTATAGGGCACCCGCAAATCCTTGCGGGGCCCTAAAAAGAGCATTTTAACTGTCATTGAAAATATTGCAATACATATCGCTATACAGTTAAAAATATCGCAATATATCGCAAAACGAAATTTTCAGCCGATATCTGGCCCTAGTAATACACTTACCACAGAATGCAAATCGGGAGTCTGGACTAAAGGAAGCCTCCAATGGAATGCCTTTATTGTTCTGAAAACCCTATATAGGAAATGTAGATTGATATAAGCTCTGTAAAGACAATTAATCAAAACATATACATTGTTAACTTGTAATATGACTCACTTGCATAATAATGCAACATATGAACAGTATGTAATAATTCTTGTGAAATCATTTTAACCTGTAGGTTGCTAAATAATTGATGGTAGAGGAGACAAAATATCATCATCTTATGTCCTGTTGTAATTCTAACACATCACCTAAAGAAGAAGGTATGGTTTTAGCTTTATTGTGCCCTAAAAATTTAATGTTTTCAAAAAGTTTGGAAACTGGCTTATATATTAGTTGAGTATATGACTGTAATAAATCAGGAAAAAATATAGCATGATGGAGTACCATTCTGGATATATGACGTCATTAATTTGACACATTTCTCTATTTTAAACAGAAACAAGAGGCCCATGGGCCACAGCGCTCACCTGAGTAACTTTGGCCTTGCTGTTTTTCACCTGATTTCCCCCCCCCCATAGTACTTATTGTGGCCCCCCCTACCCCCGAGGGTCATGATTTGAACAATTTAGAATCTACACTACCCAAGAATGTTTCCACATTAGTTCAGCTTTTCTGGCCTAGTGGTTCTTGAGAAGAAGATTTTTACTACATATTTCAATGTAAAACTTGGATTCCTTATTGTGGCTCCATCCTACCCCCGGGGCTCATGATTTGAATAATTTAGAATCTACACTACCTCAGGATGCTTCCACATAAGTTTCAGCTTTTCTGGCCCAGTGGTTCTTGAGAAGAAGATTTTTAAAGATTTTTACTATATATTTCAATGTAAGACTTGGATTCCCTATTGTGGCCCCACCCTACCCCGGGGGGTCATGATTTGAACAATTTAGAATCTATACTACCTCAGGATGCTTCCACATAAGTTTCAGCTTTTCTGGCCCAGTGGTTCTTGAGAAGAAGATTTTTAAAGATTTTTACTATATATTTCAATGTAAGACTTGGATTCCCTATTGTGGCCCCGCCCTACCCCCGCGGGTCATGATTTGAACAATTTAAAATCTACACTACCCCAGGATGCTTCCACATAAGTTTCAGCTTCACTGGCCCAGTGGTTCTTGAGAAGAAGATTTTTTAAATATTTTTACTATATATTTCAATGTAAAAATTGGATTCCTTATTGTGGCCCCGCCCTACCCCCAGGGGTCAAGATTGGAACAATTTAGAATCTACACTACCCAAGAATGCTTCCAAATAAGTTTCAGTCTTTCTGGCCCAGTGGTTCTTGAGAAGAAGATTTTTACTACATATTTCTATGTAAAACTTGGATTCCCTATTGTGGCCCCGCCCTACCCCCGGGGCTCATGATTTGAACAATTTAAAATCTACACTACCTCAGGATGCTTCCACATAAGTTTCAGCTTCTCTGGCCTAGTGGTTCGTGAGAAGAAGGTTTTTAAATAATTTTACTATATATTTCAATGTAAAACTTGGATTCCTTATTGTGGCCCCACCCTACCCCCGGTGGTCATGATTTGAACAATTTAGAATCTACACTACCCAAGGATGCTTCCACATAAGTTTCAGCTTCTCTGGCCTAGTGGTTCTTGAGAAGAAGGTTTTTAAAGATTTTTACTACATATTTCTATGTAAAACTTGGATTCCTTATTGTGGCCCCACCCTACCCCCGGGGGTCATGATTTGAACAATTTAGAATCTACACTACCCAAGGATGCTTCCACATAAGTTTCAGCTTCTCTGGCCTAGTGGTTCTTGAAAAGAAGATTTTTAAAGATTTTTACTACATATTTCTATGTAAAACTTGGATTCCCTATTGTGGCCCTGCCCTACCCCCGGGGGTCATGATTTGAACAATTTAAAATCTACACTACCCCAGGATGCTTCCACATAAGTTGCAGCTTTTTTGGCCCAGTGGTTCTTGAGAAGAAGATTTTTTAATGACCCCACCCAATTTTTGTATTTTCTTGATTATCTCCCCTTCGAACGGGACTTGGCCCTTCATTTTAACAATTTAAACTCCCCTTTACCCAAGGATGCTTTGTACCAAGTTTGGTTAAAATTGGCCCAGTGGTTCTTGAGAAGAAGTCGAAAATGTGAAAAGTTTACAGACGGACGGACAGACGGACGGACAGACGGACGACGGACAACGGGTGATCAGAAAAGCTCACTTGAGCATTCAGCTCAGGTGAGCTAAAAAGCCTCAAAATGACCCATTTCAAGGGTTATTATCCTTAAGAAAATAGTGTCCACAGCCGTCGCCCACGTTAATTTTTAGATATGTTTTGTAAAATTCTTTGAAAAGTCACATATCTCAAAATCTTTGTGGGTGATGCCTGTGGACAATATTATCTGAAAGAAAATTTCATTGAAAATTGATGTCTTCTGCAACTTTTTGAGAAAATACGGGAAAATGCACAAGTTTATGATGTCACAATTAGCATTTGGAAGGTCATGTGAGAAAAAAGATTTGGATGATCTTTCTGCATGGAATTTCAATAATTCAAAAAGCACAAGTTTTGATTTTTTACATCACTTTTATTTTTAAGAAAAACACAGGGCAAGATTTGTAATGAAACCGTACCTTGTTCTTTCTGTTTTCATCGAAGCTGTAAATTGATGGCTAAGGGAAACCAGACATCCCAAAAAAATTAAGGAAAATTGGACCCCAATGGAATATAATACATGTAATTCTAAAGTACATATGTACTAGCTTTGTATGAGCAAAATTCACAGGATCAAAATTATTTGTCTCCTTTATTTTTTTTTTTAAATACTTGTACTACAAATCCAGAATTCAGGCTTTAAAATGAATATCTGAAAATTCTAACACTTTTTACTTTTTAATACATTTAATGGATTGCCCTGAATTTCAAGTCAAATTCCCTTAAATCAGTCACATAGTTTAATGAATTTCATCATGTAAAACAATCAAATTTTATAGTAATTTTTTTACCTATCATATATATCTTAAATGCTCTAGATGCAAGCAATCATCACTTTTAATTTTGAATAATAAACATTTGATACAATTGTTAACTTTCAGCTTTTTTTTTCCGTTATATAACTGGTACTGATAAACGGTACCATTCCCAATGCCAAAAAACATTACTTTTTCCCAATTTTGAGACTAAAAATACCCAATTCCATTGCCAAGCAACAGACAACGATGACATCATATTTCTTTTTATGTGAAACATTGTACAAGTTGACTAATTGTTTCACTTCCGCTTAATTCGAAAGTAGAGATAAGTCATAATATGGCGGGACCTGTGGTGTAGACAGTGTAAAGGGATACTGATATGAAAAACAATAAATACTTTTTGTTTATTCTTTAAACCATGGAGTAATAGGTAATGAGGTTGGAATAAACACAAAATTTGTTTCATTTGTTTAAATGACAGAAAATTCCCCATTGTTCTACTTCAATGCTATTTTTCCCAATTGAACCAGTACCGGACCCTTTCCCAATGGGTAGAAAAAAAATCGCTGACTTTACCATAAAGGTCTGTAGTGGTGTCCCCTGGAAGGCATCAATCAGTCGTAAGATCTGACCATTAGTGGAAATAAGAATCAGTTTTCCATCAGGACTAAACTTCATTCCTGTCCAATCACAATCTTTGTCCTGGGTCAACTTAAACGTGGTAAATGGACCCTAAACGTTGCAATAACTTCTAATTAGCTTATGTATCATAACTAACATGTAATTCATTTTCAATGTTTGTACATGTATGTGATTAATAAAGCATCTCACTGATTTGTTTTCATTTCAGGCCTTTTACAAAATACAGGGAATCAACTTAAATTGTTTCCTTTAAAATTAAAAATGCATCTAACGAATAAATTTTCTCATTGAAATTACTTAATTTTTATTGACTTTTAGCTTTATCATTTCTACAAATACATTTTACACAAAAGTTTTCCTACATCTTCAGAATTGACTGACAAGAAAATTGGACCAATTAAATTTTTTTTTTTTTCGGTTTTTGTAATTTGGTGCCTTTATTGTTGTTGTTGTGAGCTTATTCTTGAAAGGTAAATGCCAGAATGTGAATACATATAAAGGCTGATAAATTCTATATAAAGATTATGCACATTTCTTGCAGATACCGGTACTTATAGATGATAACACCAAAATACACGAATAAGTATCCGTAAAATATTTGCAGTTGTAGGAAATTCTATTAAAATTTAAAGTCATGTCATAAACTATGTGTATATTGTATATATACATGTATATTAAAAGAACAAACTTTAATTCCCTTACCCTGTCAAACGATCTGAGGTCATAAAGTTTGACACATTCAGAGTTTATCCCTGCCGCAAAAATGAGACCCTCTGGATCAAATGCTGCCACAGGTCGACCAGGTAAATGCATCAACCCCTGAAATAATACAGGAATTATAGAGAATACAATGGAAACAACAATACTCAAGGAATATCCAGAGACTATGAATGATATAAATATATGTATCATTTTTCGCTACAGTATTAGAAGACAAAAACAGATTCATCTTAAATCCCATTATTTTGAATTTATTCGTAGATAAAAGAAGGGAATCCTGGGTAAAAGTAAAACAAAGAATGTCAGTGAATACATTACCTGACAGTTCTGTGATCTCAGATCCCATAATCTGATGGTCTTATCCAGCGAACCAGACAGAAACGAATCATTGATTGGGGACATGTTAAGGGACACAACTCTATAGAAATACACAATAGTAGTGTCAGACAGACAGACACTGCATTCATTTTACAAAAAAGCCTTATACTGTGTTAAAAAAGAGTTACTTTAAGACAGGGTAGATACATGATTATAACTCAGTCACATACCAGGTATATCTTTCTCCTGAGGTAAAATTAAAATAACTATAACAAAATACTCCTAAATTTCCCTTGGATTTTATAACTTCTTCCTTTAATATTGATATTTATTGCGATATTGCACTAAAACTGGCATCTTGAATTTCTGTTCCTTATCAAAAACAAACTTACTTTTTGGTGTGTCCTGGGAAATATCTTATGTACTTGTTGTCATGGAGAGACAGGTACCTGATTGTATCTGAAATAAAACGCAGAATAAAAATTAATTGAGGAAATTTAAACTTGAGTCCTTAACTCACCTTTCAAAATTGTCCCCCCCCCCCCAATCTATAAAAAGCAGTTGTCAGTCATTTTCATGATTTCACAATTGGCAGCAGTTAGGGCTGGGTATCGGTTGGGAATTCCCGTATTGCAATAAATTGCAATATTTGAAACTGTATTGCGATATGTATTTCAATATTTTTAAAAACAGCTTAAATGATCTTTTCTTATTTTATTAACCTCCTTTTTTTTATAAATAGGTTGTACCAAAAAAGTTTTAGTTGATTTCAATACAGTTTGGCAACAAAATGCAACCATACAACAGAAAACTTTACCATTTGGTACTGTTTGGCATGATTGAAATCATTTCTGACATCTTAAATTTCATATTTTACTTTATAATTCTAAAGCTTAAGCATTGGTACTGGAAAAACATATCGCAATAGGATATTTTTTGTTAACGAATTGCAATATACCGGAATATTGATATTAGTAACCTGCATTTATCTTGTTTATTACTTAAGTAACTTAACAATATAAAATAAATTGCAGTTGTTTATATTCTCATGCCATTCATTACCAATTAAATAAATACATGTATTTTTTCTTACCATCAACTTTTGTAGACCCATGTAAGGCTGTGTTGACTGCATGTGTATAGCAAATTAAATCGACTCCATACTTCTTACTGTTTAGAGTTTTCTTTGGCCTGTAGATAAATATAAAAATAATATTGATTTCATTCAAATATGTGGTGTATTTCATAAAAGTTTGAGTTGATTTGGATACTAGTATATATAGTCAGTCAAGTTACAAGCTGCTCGAAACCAGTTGGTGGCATGGGCCTGGTCCTTATCTTCAACAGTCTGAAATCAAACCCTCACTAGCTCCTTTTTATTTTGATTGTCACGCGACAATCAAAATAAAAAGGAGCTAGTGAAGGTTTGATTTTAATCAGACTGTATCTTCAAATACGTAGTAAATTAAGTCTGTGTTTGTGACCCAGGGTTCTCACTAGGATTTTGCTAACTTGAGTCCCAGGACTCAAGTTTTCTGAGAAGGTTGCGTCCCAGCTAAATTTGATGCGTCCCAGAAAAATTATGTTGAGTCCCAACTAAAATATTGCAGTATTCTTCCATCCAAACATCAATAAAAATCTTTATCATTTTATCAGTTTGTTTACGCAATATTAACATATTCAAGTATATAAACTGGTAATGCATTCAAGCCATATTCTAAAATACACGCGTAATCAATTGCCATAAAAATAACTTGGTGTTTATAAAGCTAAAATTAACTGTTGCATAATCAACTAGTACCCAAAAGTTGACTGTGTACAATCACAGGTGTCATGTGCAATGAGGCGTAACTAATCCTGTCGGTGGTCTGCACTGGGTGAAATTCACGAGATAATCAAGCCCCATTGTGTATATAAGCAGTAATTATGGTTTCTGCATGTAGATAACACTCAAGATTCAAAAGTGTTTTTTTTTTTTTTAAGTTTGGCATGCGACACTATTATGACTGGACTAATAAACATGAAATATCTTATGATCAATCCCTGTTTAAAAAAAGTGAAATAAGTACAAGAAAAGTTGTTTCTTGGATAAACTTTATGATAGTTACATGAAGGTTTCGATTAAATATTTCTTTGACAAATCCTAACATCTAAATTCCCCGTTTTCGAAATCTCTCGAATTTTCTCGCTAACGAGGACGCGTCCGATCACGAGTCCGCGGACGCATCGTTTTTAAGAACCTTGCGTCCCAAGGAATTTTGCTGCGTCTAGGACGCAGATTCTTGCGTTAATGAGAACCCTGGTGACCCCAGATATTGTAACAAATTACAGTGCTATATGAAAATGCTATAGTTTAAACTTCAGTCATATAGTCAAATCTTTCTCAAAAACACAATGGGAGGAGTTTGTCAAACACTTACTCATCTAGTACTAGTAGTAGTAGGGGGAAAATGGAATTGTTACAATAAACAACAGCCGAACAGACCTCCGAATTTCTATTAATATAAGCCGTTATATGATTGATTGATCAGATTGATACCCCCTCCCCCTCTATTGATAGAAATTCGGAGACCCTGTGAATGAATAAACTGCAACGTTAGTAGGCCTATGTACTGATGTAAGTGTAAACAAGTCAAATCCAGCTCGTAATCAGATAATTTATACAGTAATTATATTTTAACTTATTTTACTCTTCCCTTGCATAACAAAGCCTTGATTTTCGTAGTAATTCAGTAAAAATAACGATAATGTGTATACATATTTCCTTACGTTCCATTTTGACAATCATAGATTACTATCGAATCGTCGTCACTGCTTGAGATGAGAGTGTTGCCATCTGACGAGAAATCTATTCTGTTTATTCTGTCTGTGTTTTCTCTGAATATTTTTGCTACTCTGTAATTACGAACAACGTTGTCTGTAAGCTTCATTTTACAAAATATTTTACACTTCTTTTTTTCAAGCGATCTTCTGAATTTTCTCCATTCGCCGCGCGTGCCCTTAATAGATAACTCATACGTAAACACATTCGTTTCTCTTACTACTCTGGGGTCATTTCAGATCAGTGCTATGTGCTTTGATTAATATATTTTTACTGTGCGCCTTTTCCAACAGGAACGCAAAATTAAATATCTTAGAACCCTTTGAATCTTCCTTTTGATAAAATATATTCTTTAATTACACATGTATATATAGCATCACGTCAACCGATTTAACACATTTCACGTGAACATTTAGCTTTTTGACAGTATAAAGCCTTTCATTTTATATCAGCTGAGCCATTTGTTTTTCACTAGTCTAGTCTACGGATTTTTTTTACTTGAAAAACTTTGCTGAATTTTTCCACATGAATTTCACTGACGTGCTCTTTCACGTGATTTTTTTTTACAGATGAAATTCACGTGAAATTCAATCGTGTGAATTTACTCGTGAGACCCTGATTTATAATAACAAAACAATTGATGAAATACTCGGAGAAATAGGAAAATAGAAGTTGACGGTTTTATGAGTGCTGTACTGCTGTGAAAGGCGGCAAAATTATAATAGAGGTAGTGTGGGTAATGCAGTGAAAGATCTAAATTATATATCATTCAATCTGATTGGCTCTTCAGTAAACCAGGAAATAATTCTTGCAGCTTCCAGTTGAACCTTTTCTCAGTTTTTACGGCTTTTTTTCTGTAAACAATTACTGCACATTCCAGGCACTGGCTGAGGAAACTATAAGCAAAATGGCATAATAATATACATGTACATATAATGTGTGTGTGTTTAAGCAGTCGCAATTGAACATTTAATCTTTTTTACATGCTTTTTCATGATTGTGCTCGATGTTTCTGCTACTATTAAACTGTAGAGATTGTAATGAAAGTGAAAATAATGAATTATCAATCTCATAAATTCTGTTAATAATACGAAACGTGAACATGGCCAAAACACGGACCCCTGGAAACACTAGAGGTGGGATCAGGTGCCTAGGAGGAGTAAACATCCCCTGTCAACGCACCTGCCGTGAGCCTCCTGTGTTGATCAGGTAAAAAGAGTAATCCGTAGTCAAATTGGCATAAAAACAATAGTCTTTCAATTTGTATGAAATTTGTGGGTTAGTAAAAATACAACTCAATGATAATTTCTATTTGCAAACAAGGTCATTATAACGACCGTAGAATTTGCAAAATGCTAAGTTTAATAATGAGATTGTAGGAAACCTTGCAACATCAACTTATTTGTCAGTAGCCTGCTTCAGTTCATTGATTCAACAATCTCATATCTCTGATTTTTCCTGTATAAAAAGAAAGTCACGAGAGCTTCATCATAGATGCAAACTAGGAAGACACAGAGAATATGTCAATGATTAGAAATATAGCGAATTGGGCAATTAAAGTTTTAAGGAAACAAAAACAAAATTTGATCAAATAGATGTGTTTAACTATGACTGTTTGTAAACATATTTATTAACTCTTTTAAATACTTTCATACTATGTAGTATCATATACACTGATGTCTTCAATAAAGAAACCAGCAATACTGACGAAATTTCTGTGCAGGGCAAGTATGATTTTTTTTCAATCTGAAACCCACAAATTCATTTTTCGTCCGGGGGCTGAACTAGCTGCCACCAAGGCTCCACCCTATAGCTAGACCTGCTAGGGCCTTAGGCGGCGGCCCCCAGACCCCCTGTCGCTATGGTTTTGCCCCACTATCTAGAATTTAAAGTCTAACTATGCCCCTTCTATTGTACAAATATTTTACTATCAACATTCCAAATGTAGACGACAAAAGATTATATCCATTTTTCCTTTTGATATTTAAGCAAAAGAAACATCGTAAATATTATGTGTAATTGTTTAATCTTGTTATCAGCATGCAAACATTCGTGAACACCTCGACTCGTGACTAAGCCAGTATAATAATAAAACCCAAAACAAATACATTAAACAGGACAAATTTTTATTATGTCATCTCAGACGTGGTTCTTTGCCATACTTCTTGTTACTGTGGTATTGCAGATTGCATTTTGTGAAGTTGTGGTCACCACGAAGTACGGAAAAATCCGGGGCATCGCCAGTAACAAGACTAAAGCCTTCCTGGGAGTACCCTACGCGGCGCCGCCAGTAGGGAAACTAAGGTAGCTTGAACACTGCTTTCTATAATAATTCTACTGTTCTGTGTACAGAATTTACATAATGCTATTTAAAGCAGAATGCATACTTGCATGGCTCTCACACCGAAAGTCGAACACAATTATGGATATTATATTAAAATTTCTAGTGTTTTACGTACTACATGTACTAAGATTGTCAGTTTTCATCGTCAGTTACCACATCTTTTCTTATTAATCTTATCTCGATAGTTTTATCATTATAACCTAATTTAGTTAGAGTATGCCCGCGTACATTTGATACTATAATGCATATATATTAAAAAGAGGCGTTGAAATTTGGTACAGAAATGTTAAATACAGTGTCTAATATTTTCCTGACAGTTTGGCATTTCTTTGGCAAAACATATGTCCTTATATTAGTCTTTATAGAAAAACAAATAATATAAATAAACTGTCAAAATTAATTTTCATGTAATTATGTAAAGTTAATATTTAAAAATAGAATTTCCATGGTTTGTAGTACCAAGATTCAAGATGGTTCCCAGCCTCCAGAAATTCTTCACAAATCGATCGCCTTTTACTGATTCTATTGGAAGTCATGATGATACTTAATCTAAATACATGTATATGTATTAGCCTTGTAATACAAATTTTCAAATATAACAATTATATTAGATGTAGACAATCTTTGCACACAACTTTTATAGATGGAAGAACCCTGTTTCTGTTGCGGCGTGGTCACCCAAAGTTTACGATGCCACAAAGGTGAAACCCGGATGTCCCCAGAAAGGCTGTGAGACGATGAACCCCGTCCTTGTCTGTCCTGAACAGGTGATATGAGCATCACTATGAATTTATTTATTTCATGCGAAGAAAAGTATCAGATTCATTCAATATGATCGATCGACACTTACTGCTGGAACTGAGTTCTGCAAACAAGTACATTTTAGAAAATAATTTTACAAGTATGATTCATTATTTAAAAAAAAAAAGAGATCAGTACAGTTCACTGATGTACACACTTTATAATTTTCAAGGTATTTTTGAAAATGTGTTAGCATTTTTAGATATGCAGTCATGCTGTAACTATTTCTCATTTTTAAAAGACAGCAGAAGACTGTCTCTATCTTTACATATGGACGCCATTAAGTGCTAATACAACTACGTCATTTCCTGTTATGGTGTACATCCATGGTGGAAACTTTGTTCACATGAGTGCAGATTCGTTGCTATTTAATGCCGAGGAACTTGCCTACAGAGGACAAGTTATTGTGGTTACCATGGATTATAGACTAGGTACGTAAATTTCATTCTAAAGGACCTCTCTATAAATATGTTTACAATATGATCTTTCCCCCTTTGTCATACCAAATCCACTCGGAGTTTTTCAATTTTGATATCATTAATCTGAAAAAGAAATCTTTGAGTAAATCTATTTCATTTACTTAAAATATGTGATAATACAAAAATACGACTCATGCAATGATAGCAAGGTTATATGCTTTGCTAACAAGGTCAATTATAACGACCATAGAATACATGTATATGAAATGCTGACTTTAAACGAGGTTGTTGAAATCCCTGAAACATCAACTTATCTGTCAGTAGTCTGCCTCTGTTTAAAAATTGATCGTACTCAGTGCATGTTCTTGAGAAAGTCTGAAGTTTACAGCAGTTAATATTTTGGTGAGGAGTGAAGATAGGGGCTTGGAAGAGCATTCACTGGACCAGGTAATGTATCTTTGTATGGATTTTTATGAAGTTTAGGAATCCAGTATAGGTAGGGTAGATCGTTCCCACCTTGGTTGACTTTAATATTAAAAAGTATTAAAAACTGAAATGAGATTTTGAAGAATTTCATACTTATAGAAAGTGAACTGTGAGTATAAGTTGGATTTAAGTAGAATCAATTTATTAGTTATATAGTTTTGTTGTGACCGGTACAGGATGATACCTGCTTAATAAATTTCACACTTGGCGAGGTGAAACCAGGCATCATCCCGTATCCAGTCCCTACAAAAAACTTTACCAATTTACCCCAACCGATGACATAAAAGTATGTAATTAGGGTGTCTATGGTTTGTACTATTGTTTCTCCACGCTATATATTTCATAACTCCCGCACAGTGTCTTTTATGACGTCACGTTGTATACAACATAATTATGTGTATAAGTATTACACTCCCTTCAATGGTAGACAAGGATTTCATCGAAAAATCATTAGAGATGTAAATTCAAAGGCACTTGTTTCGTATGTACAGGTCACCCCTTCTCATTTTTACCACAAGGTACTTAATTTCAACTACCCTCTATTCAAACTCGTATTTATCAATTTGTCAATCATTAACCTACTTTAACAAGACATACTTATCAAATTGTCTCAACACATTTTAAGATAATACACGGGATACATCAACTTCCGGTTAGGCTTTTAGTGTTGGATAAAACCAGAGACTTGGAGCTTTTAACTCTGAAATCTCTGGTTTTATCGTACATTTTAACCCTGAGTAGGTCAATGTTTGATTAATTAATAAAATAGGAGTTTGAAGTGGGGATGTCTGAAATTGAGCTTGGGGAAAATCCCAACTGTTAATTTTTTTGATGCTGTGAATTACAAGTAAAAAATTTTGATGGCATAATACACAGGAACGACTTGTCCCACAAGATAATTAAAAATTAATAGACGTAGTTGATTTTCATCAAGGAACTGCCATTTATACAGTTTTAAAACTTAGCAAAGGTCAAAGGGGGAAAATTTGCTTATTTCTTAAAAATGGCTACAAAGGGAATTAATACATGTACATTTTAAAACCGCGAATTCGTAAAGTCACACTCGTACAAAGTATGCAGTTACTGTTTGTGAAGATTTCGGTAATTGCGATGAAATTGTTAAATCAAAACATTAATTCAGTAACACATTTCCAGGCCTTAGAGGGATTTTATTTTTATAATTTTTAATTGCGGATGCTTTTTTGAAGGTAACAGGAGTTTTAGAGTGTAACTAATACATTTTGCCCCTCCCCCTTCAAATACAGTACATTTTCTAAGAGAGAAAGAGAGTTAATTATTGCTGGTTTGTGGTATTTGATGTTCCAGGGGCTTTGGGATTCCTTCTAACAGAGGACCGACGAGCTAGCAGTAACTACGGTATCCTTGACCAAAGACAAGCCATGAAGTGGGTCAAGGACAACATACGAGCATTTGGTGGAAATCCTAACATGGTAAGGTACTTCATTCAAAATGTGCTAAATGTAAAAAATATTTATCAACATACAAAAAAAAATAAGCTGACAATTATAAAAAAAAATAAATAAAATCCTTCTATATATAGGTGACCTTGTTTGGTCAGAGTGCGGGAGCCCAGTCCACTATCGCCCACTTATTGAACAAAGAGAGTAGTCAATATTTCCAAAGGGCCATTGTTGAGAGTGCTCCATTGAGTATTCCATTCAAAACAGAGGAGGAAATGATTTTCATCAGTAATATGCTATTTGATCAATTAAATTGCTCCCCGAAGGACCTGGATTGTCTGAACAAATACAGCGCTGATGATATTGCGGAAGCTCAATTAAAAATCCGTAAATATCCATCCTCACTGAAACTTCTGGAATTTTTTGAGCCATGGGTCCCGTATGTTGACGGAGTAATAATACCATCACAACCTTTGGAAGCATTCCGAAAGGGACTTGTCATAAATAAACCATTAATGATGGGAACAGTTACAGAGGAAACTCGGATATTTATTTATGAGGCGTACAATAAGTCTTTGCCAGCCCTGGAATATAGCCTCGCGCTTTCTCTGACGTTCCCTAAGAAAGCATTAGATGTTTTACAGATGTATCCACCAACTGTGGAACCGGATCAAAGGGATGGACTACAAGTTCCTGCCACCGATTTCATCTTCACATGTTGTACCAGAAACTTTACACGAAACGTCTTGAAACAAAATGGCGGACTTGTATGGACTTACGTGTATGACCATGCATTCTCCTTCCCAGGGTGGGGTAAATTTACTTACTGTGAAGGACATGTTTGCCACGGCTCAGAAATTCCATTTGTTTTTCAGTCCAGTAAACTTGGGAATTTCACAATAACACCAGACGAAATGAAGCTGTCAAATTCATTAATAGCGTACTGGTCAAACTTTGCCAAAACAGGAAACCCTAACCAGGGAGCCTCAGTTAGCTTACAATGGCCGGTTTATGAATCCAAATCATTGTGGCCTCAGATGTTTTTCTCAACACCCTCGAATTCTGTAAAAAGCTCGTACCGCAGGGAATATTGTGACTTTTGGGATTCTTTAGGATATACTCCTTCAGGATAAAATGGTTTTAAATTAACACTTCTTAATCTCCTTATAAAAGGCGAATGGAACTTCATTACTATGTATAAATGTGCTTGTACTTTTCACGTTAGGTGCCACATCTTTACAACGGAAACCGAATAAAAGATATTTTAACATTACTTTAATTTTGATTTTATTAATAGTGAAACAAGTTTTCACCCTACCCCACCCCCCCCCCCTCCCTAAAAAAACTCAAAAAGGAAGTTAAAGAAAAAATCTCGCATTTTCCCCGTGGCCTAGTGAATAAAATGCATAGATGATATAAATTTATTTATATGTCAGATGCACAAAATTTGCGAAGTGTAACACTATCGTGTATCGATACAGTCATAATTAAGTGTACCTCAAAGGTGTTCAAGGAAGAAACAATTTGCAAGAAAATTTCTCCATTCATGCAGGCGAGAATCTGGATTGTCCTCAAACAATTTTATGACACAAATGCATATTTTTCTGAGCGCAAATTAATATGCATGGACATTCATAACAGAATTCTTTTATATATTCACTTCATGTTAAAGTTTATCTCGAAAAAAACTTAACTTGAAGTACATATCAAACTGTATCAAATATGAAAACTCGCACTTTATACACAGGAATATCTGCATGGACATCTCAGAGGAGGTGTCTTTTGAGAACAATATGCTGGAACATATGAGAAAAAAATCAGGCAAAAATATACCGGTGATATAAATATACTCCCTGGGCTGTTATAAGACGGAGGGAGTAAATTAATCATCCTGACAGAGAATAAAACTTCCAAAGATTCTCCAAACTTAATACAGTGTATGTTGTTGAAGTCTATGTTTTAAATCTCACAACCACTAATCTAATGACGTCTCTCAACAGCTCAACTATGGTGTCACAGCCTATGTCACTGTGTTATGAAAAGACGGAGGCAAAGAGAAAATTGAAAAATATGTAGTAAACAGAAAATTTAAATTATATTTTGTAGTTGAATATGGAATTTAAAATATTAAAAAATCCCGCCTACTCGCGAAATAAATTCCATAACATTGAATATCCTCTACATGTTTTTATTGTTTAATTATATGAATGCTTAGGCTGAAGTGCAGAGAAACCGTATACATGTACATGTATGTTTGCTTAAAGCTATGCCTTTGAAGTTTACTTTTCCATTTTCTCGATAAAACAAGTTATAACAAACGTATTGATGACCCAAAATCATAAAAAGTATCGGTAACAGTTTACAAACGTGGTTTTAAGTTTCCTATAATTCTACATTTGTAAATGCAATACGAACATAGGCATTGTCAAGTTATTCTTTACCTTGTTTTGAGATGTTTCATGTTCGTCATTGCTTAGTGTAAGATGAGATGTAGACAAATTACATTGCAACACAGACACTGAACGGTACATATTTCTCTTATGAAAAAACTTAAACCCTCACCTTATAAATCAAACCTAGTGATTTGTAAGGTGGGTTAAAATCTTTTTTCCTATAAGAAAAATATGTAACGTCAAGTGTCCATGTATTCCAAGTAGTTTTATTTAAAAATGTACTTTTTTATATCTTAAAATTTTAAATTTACTTACAACAGAAATAGAATTTTGCTTATAGGGTTAGTTATTGTTAAACTATGAACACACAGCAAATGGAGCCAAATATTTATATATATAAATTTTGTTCATAACGGAAATGTCATTCTTCAGATCTAGAAGTGTTAAAATTGCCCTCAACTCCCAGATCATTTGAAGGAAAAGTGACAAGGTGTCATCGATTTCAACTGCAAACATTGATTTAGAACAGTGAAAGACAAATTTAGAAGACTCTCTACTTACTTATACTTATTGATTCATGTATACATCTGCCGTATTGCCACGGAGAGTGGCTATAATAATGGAGTGAGCCAACATCAGAGAGAAACAGAGGGGAAGCACTTATTATGACCAATTAGGTGCATCAATAAAAATATATTGAGATTGTGTACAGAAAGTAGAAAGCTATCATTGATATCGGCTTACGATGAAGAGCATGAGGCACTTAGATGTCCATTTGATGTTGAGAACGTGTGTGGCTACTGGGATTAAGATATCTCCGCTGTTAAATTGACGAGAATTTATTTCCTGGATAAGTGATATCCAAGGCTATTTTATCACACTATATTGTCCTGATGTCACCTTTTTTGATATAAGTACAGTACTTTTCTTAGTAAAGGATAATAGTTGTGTATTGCTCTATTTCCGTTGTGCGTTTTTTTTTTCATTTCCGGTGAACTGAGAAAAAAACAACATTTTAAATCATCATTCTAGCAAATGGCAAGTGGTTATTGCTATACGGAAGACTTAACTAATTTAACAAATCACCTCTCGGAGAAGCACTCCGTGGCACCTTCAGCCATAATGTTCAGCCTTGGTGTTGGTGGGAACGTTTTAGCGATATCCTTGTTGATAAAGCATTCGAACACTCACCATTGGAGTGTGTTCTATCGTCTTGTTGCAGGACTTACTGTCACGGATCTTTTTGGGGTTTTGTCGAGCTCACCTCTTGCCTTCGTTGTTTACAGTAACAAGTTCCGTTGGGTTGGTGGACAACCTGCCTGTGACTACATGTCCTTTGTTTTGATTTTATCCAGTGTATCCACAATGCTCATTGCGACAGCTATGTCTCTAGACAGATTTTTTGCAGTGTGGTTTCCATTTTTGTACAAATCAATGGAAAAAAGAAGACGAGTTCATGTTATTCTTGCGTCTCTTTGGATATTTGCTTTACTCATTTCGAGCCTCCCCCTAATTGGTCTTGGGCATAACATTCGCCATTTTCCATGTACCTGGTGCTTCTTTGATTATTTTGGTACAACACCGACAGATATTGCATTCTCGATTATTTTTGCATCTCTTGGAATTTTCGTGATTGTGAGCTCTAGTATTATCAACATTTTAGTTCTGATTAAAATAGTAAAAGAGGCTAAAGGTGTGAATAGAGGGATAAGCATCCGAAGTAGGAAAGGTCAGAAGAGAGCCAGAAGGAATGAGTTTTTTATTATGACTTTCATCATTGCTATTTTATTGACCTGTGTCATCTGCTGGATGCCATTAATGGTAATAAATATCAAACTGTTCTCAAAATTAAATTTTTAAAAAATCTATATATAAACGTATTGCGAATTTTATCGGATTTCATGTAATAATTGGTCGGAGTGTTCAGTATTATGTACTAGTACAAAATATTCATGAACACTTAAAAAATCATTTAGTATGCAACAAAATCTTAATATATGATTTTTTATTGTCTACAAGATCATGTTTACTACATACATTTACATGTATAAAACAAACCATACGTTGCTCAGGAAGACATCGAAGTTGAATACAGTGCATTACATACATGTGTATGTACATTGCGTACATGTTCATGCAATTACTCTTTCGATTTCGTCTTACATTTGAACTAGAAAATACATTTGTATTTCGAATAACATTAATCTTGATTCGAATTTCAGATAAGAATCTTAACAAATGTGTCAAAGCAACAGGTTCCTGATTATTCTTCCGATCTTCTGGGGTTACGATTCGCCTCCTGGAACCAAATCCTTGATCCCTGGATCTACATTTTACTGCGGAAGGAGATGCTGACGAGACTGTATAAGTTGTATAGGAGACTGTTTACAGACACAGACGTGTCAGAATTTTCTTTAAATGCAGAAAAATCTTATGCAATTGACAATTCTGAAGTCTGTCACAAGGCGAAAACGATAAACAATTCAATAGCAAGAGAGGAGTATTCAGACACTAACGACCGACAGCGTCCGTCAGGCCAGGAAATGACTTTGTTACTGTGCAATTCAAACAAACCACTAAATAACAGTGATGGAAAAGGAAATAAACTTGAACTTAGCTGATACCTTTTGTCAATATATTAATGATATTTAAGTTATCAATTGATAATTATCTCCCAAAATGGATACATTTAACAATGCAATTATGTTCTCAAAAAGCATTTCAGCTAACTCAAATTAGAAAGCTTTAATAAATATTAAATAATCATTTAAAAATTTAATTGAAATATTAATAAACTGAATAAAAAGAAATTACTACAACATGCACTGATATAGTCTACAAATAGTATTTCTTTTTCAAGGATATAGTGCGCAGACCCGGTGTAAATATTACTTATAAATGTACATATCTTGTCCTTGCATTCTTTGAACCATGGATCTACATTGTAGATGTAAATGCATTCTTTGATTAAACACAATGGGTTTTATCTATCTAGCAGAGATTCTCTAGTATTTTACTTACTTTGTAAACCAAAAGATTAGAGAAATTCTGATTCTTCAAATAGGAAATGATACACTGTAAGACATGTATTTCAGAACATATACACATGTACACACTTCACCATTTTCAAAAAAAAAAAAAAAAAACAAAAAAAACAAAAAAAAACTCTTTTCCAAAATACTGACCCTCTTGAGTTTTTTTCATCTGATTTCAATAAGAATTGGAACAAAATAGGCTGCTCCAAGACATAACAATCAGTTTCTAAGATATGCAAACATAGATTTTATAAAGAATTGAATAAAAATTTCAAATTCTTTAAAATGCTGTTATAAAGCCACATACAGTTTGACTTAAGTTCAAGAGGACATGATTCATTTGTAGATCTATTACTTCAAATTACACTATTTTTATGGGGGGGGGGGGTATATTTTTCGACATTTAGTTTTGTCAAGGTTTCTATAGACATAATTTTTCATTTAATATGCTTCTCCTCCTGTGGTTCTAGTCTGATTTGAATAAAACTTGGATCAAGTTTTGAAAATTAAGATTCATAATTCTGTAAGCAATTTTCAATAAGAAAAGTGAAAATGGCGAGGGTACCATAGTTTTTTCACTTAATATAAAAGCTTGATTTTATAATAACCTCAATTCAATCAATCATTTACTAACATATGTATCTGCTATATCTGCATCCGCAATTATACGTTAATGGTACAAGAAAACTGTGATTTATCGTGATGGAAAGTTGGTAATGAAACACTGAAATTAATCATTTAATTGATCGAAGTTGAGACCTGAAACTACAGACATTTATGGCCGAATTTCCCTCAAGAGTATTCATATTGAGTTACGTTGCCTGACCATTAATAATGAACTCCAAACACACCTCATCCTTCAGCGAAACAAATCAAAATAATGGCCTGTCTCCGTAATTTTTAGCTCTTCTTTTGGAAATATGCACCAGAAACGTGTCCGTTGTCCATCGTCTGCTTGCTCGTCTAGCTGTCTGTCAGTCTCTCTGTACGTCCGTTCGTCTGTTACGCTTTGGGGTACCCATCTCTTATTAAAAACTCCCTCTATATCACTAGATAAAATTGATTGAGATTTTCACAGAATCTTTCTTACATACATGTACATATAGTTCCATGGTGCACCTCCTATTTTACATTTCGATCAGACTTTGGGGTTACCATTGCAAAACATGGACACTGTCATTCTTTCTATAATATTTTGGGTAACCATATCTTATCCTTATCTCCTCATATACAAATGAATATTATTTAATGAGACTTTCACAGAATCTTTATTTCAAAGTCCATTGTGCACCCTTTTCTTCACATTTTGATCGGACAGATATTTGGGCTTCTCCGTAGTAAAAAATTGAATTGGCCATTATTCTCATATTTGAGCAGGGGTATCATTTAATTTGCGATCTCACTGTTCATAGTACTTCTAGTTTTCTTCAACACTTATCATTATAGTTCATTATATAAAGAAAATGATAAAATCTCAATATATGTAAGAAAATGTTAATAAAAATATTAATTAGGCATATTCTAATTAACAAAATTGATAATCAATATATTTTAGGACAAAGAATTATAGGCTACTTGCGTTCCGAGTCAGACCAAAAGCCTATAATATGAGTAGCATTTAAAAAGAAGTGTTTGTAAACACAGACGAACTTGTGGACGGACACCCCGATCACTATATGCCACCCACTTTTTCAAGCGGGGGATAAAATAACATGGGTAGGTGCCCCTAACTTTTGAATCAAGTGACATTTTAGGAGCATTTTCCGGTACTTAAATGCTGAGTTTCAGAGCCCGAGGAATGGACTACCTTAATGAAGATCATTTATATAGTTATAAAAATCAAATAATGGTTAATTTTTTTTTTTTCAATGCGATACATCGTATAGTTTTGACCTGAATAATCAGAAGGACCTGATTAGCTCACTTTCAAATTCATTAATGTTTATTATCGGATATATTTTTAGAGAAACGGTATGACTACAAACAATAATTTATAAAACATTATTTTCTACCCCTTCTTTGAATAAGACTAGTAACAGATTTAAAAAATTAAGATGAATTATTCTGGTAGCAACTTAAAAAAAATTCACAAAGCCATTCTTCAACTATTGTACATGTAAGATCAGATCTGAGACCTACATGTACATTCTTATTCCATGTTACAAGTTGTTACTTTGTTTAAGCTCCTTGTACTTAAAAATAAAAGACATGCTTGTTCAAACTTGTACTCATGAAATAATGTTTAAAATTGTCTTCTCTCTTTGCCTTCCATAAATGTTGATTAACAATTTTCAATTGCCAGCGAGTATACAACGAATTAATTAGTCATGAATAGTCAATAATTGAAATTTGTAATTATTACAGGACAATTTATATTCCAAGCACACGACTAATGTAACAAGCGTATTAGTAGGGTTCGGACACAGTCATTGGTGCACTAAAAGAAACCAATGAAAATTCATGATAAATATTGTTATTCATGTTAATCATAAACTGTGTTCTAAGACTTTACCAATTAGTAAATACTAACAGACTGAATTTATCAGGAATATATCGGGAAATCTTTATTTGAAGTACACAACAGAAAATTGAGTCAAAATGTTAGTTGAGATTTTTCTTTCTACTACTTGAGGACTAAATATTTTGAATTCCATACACCACCAAACTCATCCTTTCCTTCAAGAGTATAAAAACTTGCTTATTGTGGGACATTTTTACCAAATTTTATCTTTTCCTTAAATATTTTTTTTTTATATTTTAGAAATAGTTAGCACTCCATTCTGAAATATATGCATTTACCAAGGTTGTAATATTGATAATAACCATTCAAAGTTGAAAACATCATCAACATTGTTCAAAACAACCTTTGGGTTTGGTCATCAACGTTTTAAGTGTTTTTTTTTTTTTTTTTTTTTCTCTCAAAGTAGTTCTTTTATTTTCTTTCCACTCTGCGTGCCTGCTAGCAGCAATTGTTATCAAAAGTCTGAGAAATTTACATGGACTGAAAATTTTGATGTTTATTCTACATGTTCTACTACATGACTGAGATACAGGAAAACAAGTCAATAAGCTGAGATGTCCAGTTTCGATTTATTTTGTTCGATTCACACACACCCCAGAGTAATGTAAGACTGCGGCACAGAGAGCCAATAAAATCTCCATTAGAAGAATCAATAGCACTTACATCCTAGATAAATCTGAGATGTTTATCAGCATTGTTCCACAGAGAATCGAATTTATACTCAAAATATTTTGCAATCGAATATAGACCATTATGTCAACAAAGCATCAATGATGTCCTATTAAGAATTAGAATATTTATGCGTGTATTTTTGCTCCCTTGTTACTTTGGCAGATGATGATGTCCTGTCTTTTATTTATTTATTTTTTTTTACATATACATACATGAATACAAGTATATTGTCACAATGATTTCCCTTATGAAAAAATACTATTAGAATTAAATCGGAGTACTCATAATTATCTTAATCTATTTTGTTGACGTACATTTACTCAAGGACATATTCTTATCCTTACAGTAATCTTTGACCTGAAGCATAATTCCGAAAATATATAATTTTTATTCGATTTTTTTTTCCAAAAACGTAAAACAAAATGCATAAAATTATTCCAAGTCACATGACATTCTGACCTTACATATTTTCCTTGTCCTTTATGTTTTGATCATCCTTATTATTTTTTATGTATTTTGCATTAAGGACATACGCAACGTACCTTACCTACTGATAATTTTTCAAGATATTCTTAATTTAAGATTATAATGCCATCAGATGTTCATAGACAAAAAATCAGCATGCATTACCAGGGGTTTTGAAAAGATATCAATTGATGAAAATTCTTGTATAATTTAAAGAAAAATATACAAAAATTACTAAACATATATTCTAGATGTTTTGTTTATCAAAACTTGTTTTAGAAGAAGTGTACAACAGTATATATATACATTAAAATGTAGCACACAGTTCCTTTAAGTATTGGAACTCTTCAACTCCAGGGAAAAGACAATAAAATTCAAACTATGTTGCGTATGTCCTTAAGTAGCAAAATTTAACAAGGATAAAGACAGTTAAATAAAAACAGACTTAACTATAATTGAATATTTTCTCCACGAATTCACCGACCAGGGTGCAGATTCCGCGATTCGTTTCAGAATACATTTAGTTAATTCAAAAATAGGAAAAACCCGATCCCAAGACCAGAAACTGGGAGCAGACTTAACTATATTTAGATTCTGAATACTAGTATCTTTATTTAATCAATTTACTCCATTTGCTTGGATCACAATGTGACGATGATTATAGATATGTTGACAGTTTTCTGGAGGGTCTAAGTTATCAATTATTAATCTGTTATTAAGAAATGAATCACGTCAGATTCGACTCCAACAAACAACGTTTAAACAGAGAAGAGGTCAAACGTATCCCTTATCAGTGAGCATATGTATAGTTTTACTATATTGTTTTGTTTTCAACCCTTTTTACACTTGTCTTTCTTTCTTTTTTTTTTTTTTTTTTTTTTTTTTTTTGTTTGAAATCTGGAAATTTATTGCTTTATTATGTAAGAAC